TAACTAACTAGCTGTACCCTGACAAGCTTCGCTGAGCACATTGTACTACAAAAAAATCGACGTGAAAAACAAATAAAAACAATTTTTGAAGCGGTTTCTATAACGTGTCAAAAATTGTAATCAAGAATTATGGTTATTTATTTCATAGGTATTTATGTGTATTTTATTACGAGTTGTTTCTTACCCTAAAGGTAACTACAAGTTGACCTTGAATAATAATTTGGCAATAAAGGTCATTGTCTATCAATAATACATAGGTACCTACCTAACTTGTTAAAAAAATGTACCAAAATGTCCATACGAAGTGTGCTTGCTTAGCGCTACAGTAGATACTGAAATTTAATTGTTACCTAATTTATCTAAATCTATAAAAATAAATAAAATTAAAGTGTCTGTTTTAATGTCAAAATAATGGGTTATTTTCAAGCTCACACGATTATTTACACGATACCTATGCCTAAAAACTAGTTTAATTATTTTTTGTTTGTGTTTCTGTTTTGTTCCGGGTAATCTTCTAAACGGCTTGACCGATTTTGATAATATTTTACTTCCAAGTAGTTGTCTATATAAGGAGTAACTTAGGCTATTTTTTATCACATAGGTACAAATGTTTGCCGGCCCGGGAATCGAATCCACTAAGACAGCGTTTTTCAAATTCCACGCCAACGTAGTCGCTGGTACCAGCTAGTTTACAATGTAACTTTTTACATCCATACTTAGAAATATAAACTGCAATCACAAGTTTAGTAAACATCGTCGTATTGAGTTTAAGAGTCCCATCACACTGGTGAATTTAATTGAATAATATTTTAGTTCTGTACTGCCAGCAGCAGGTACTTTTTTAAATTGTTGAAGTTTTCGCGATCATCTCATAGTCTAGAACTATCTAAAGGCCGTTAGATTTAAGTATTAAGGATAAGCACATACTTCGCTGAACGACTCGTCGCGACGGCAGCGGGCGCTTTCTTTGTACTTCACAAACTCAATGACTTCACATGCATTATGTTTTCGGCGATCGCCGAATCGCCAAATTTATTCAATAGTTGTTCAATTAGCAATCGTACCGTGTATCATTTTAGAAAATTTGTTTTGCAAATACAATGGTCAAATGCGCGCATTGTCGTACAGTTTTACGCTGATTACCAGAAACTGTAAAATTTTTGGCCCATTACGATAAGCAATGTGCGGCGACTATCAAGGTTACGCAGAAGCACGATATCATCTGAGGGCCAAGTGCTAGTTTATTTCACATCAACTCGCTCTCGACAGCGCGGGTGTACGGCGTTCGTGCGGAGCGAGAGTGCGTGGAACTCTGCCGTCTCCTTCTGCGAGCAACTTATGCTCACGAAGGAGACGGCGGCCCGGGAACGGGCCAGGTACCGCAGGCGACTTAGGCGCTGGAGGTCGCGGCCATCTGTCACCCTAGCAGAAGCAGGCCGGGGTGGCGGCGAGCGCGTTGCGGAACGCGCTCGCCTCACGGCACACAGCCTCGGAGCACAGGGAACATGGGGTTCCCACACGGGGGGGGGGGGGGGGGTCGTCTACTCGTCTGTAGTATGTCGGGGCACCAGGGACTTCCTTTCTAGGGTACACCTGGTTCCTCGGCTATTAGTACCCGAGACGGCGTGCGGTTTTAGTCGGTTCGAGTCCGACATGCCACCGATAGGTGGTATCCGAGGGGATTTCCGCACGGAAAAAAAAAGGGTGTACGGCGTTGCGATTGGTGGATATTTCAGTGCGGACCAATCGTAGCGCCGAACGCGGTCACCGTGAAATAAACTCGCACTTGGCCCTCAGGATCTCGTTCGTGGGCAGTAGACCGACGTGAGCCATATTTGTAAGCAACCGTCAAACGCACCCACTGATCTTGATAACCTACCTGTTACCTTAGACTGGCCTTGAACGCATTTGCTTTCCTATTACGTACACATTTTTTGCTTACTCTTCGTTTTTAGGGTTGCGCACATCGTATAAGAAACCCTTATAGTAATTTTGTATGGTAAAATAAAGTTCAGTTAAAAAATTTGAGGTACTGTAAGATATTCTTTCGATTGAGTGACCTGATTGTAAAATAAATGATAAACTTTGTAGTACTATATTTTGCCATAATTTGAAGGGTGTCTTCAAATAAATGTGGGATTCTGATTGAAGATAACATCAATAAATGAAAATAAATGAACAAAATTGTCCAGCTATATAAATATTTGTGACATGAGCAATTCTAAATAAACCTGGTTTAATCGAATAACTACTCATAACAGTGGGGTTCAAGGTAATATACGTTAATACGGTTTAAAGTGACAGCTGTCATTCTAGTAGATGACACATGATGGTTGTAAAACAGCAGAAAATGGCCACTCAACGCTCAGGAGGACGAATTGTTTATTTAAGAAACAATCACTATAGCTTATACATGCGTATTGTAGTGATTAAGTACAAAAGACCGAGTTATCATTTCCTGATTGGGTAACTTATTTATGACCATACCCCACACATAGCGTATGAGGAAGCCTTCCGATATTGATCATCCAAGTCTCAAATACATTTTAATAAATATAAACAAATTATAAGTTTAACCTTGACTATGAACTCGCTTTACAAGTTTTGTTGTCGAAACAGTCGGACATTCAATTCAAAATGTGTCTAATCACAATGGACTAGATTAGTAAGTTGAAAAAACACGAATATGAATCACGTTTGGGTAGGTCATTGGTACGTATAGACAAACTTGTATTAGACTTTAAACTTTATATCAGACGAATATTTATGTAGCTTTTATTGATATTTTTATAACATAGGGGCAAACTGGCGGTCGCCTGAAGTTGTCCATAGACTTCTACAGTTCCCAGGCTGCTACGCAAGAACCATGAGCCGATTACGAACATTGGTCCGGCAACACTGCAAGAATTTGTTCCACAGATTGTTGTGCGAGGCACAAAGTTACCTAAAAAGTATATAATAATAATAATATTATCTTCACACATCTCACACACGGCAGTCTGGTCCTAAGTTATGCAGAGCCACTGAGCAGAGTATTATGGTAACCAACGTGCTGATAAACATACTTGTATACTTACTAGCTGGTACCCGCAACATTGTTCGTCTGGAATTTGAGAAGTTAGTGGTATAGTACGATACGCGACTGCAGTCCATTAGGGTTCGATTCCCAGTCCTGCCAAAATTGTATAAGGTTTTTCTGAGAGGAAAAATAGCCTAAGTTACTCCATATATAGACAGCTACCTGATAGTAAAATATTATCAACATCGGTCCACCCGTTTTGAAGATTACCCAGAACAAACAGTCAGACAGACGGTTTTTATGCATAGTATCGTGCAAATAACCGTAAAAGCATTAAAAAAGCCAATTTTGACATTATAAACAGACACTTCAATTTTGTTTATTTGTATAAAAGATATGTTTTGTATTTATTTATTAAGCTTATAAGTTTTCTATATATCTATCTGTTTGTTTTCCAAAAATAAACTCTTAGTTTAAATGTGTTTCTTAAAATATAATCCATTAAAAATGACTTGATTTTGTCAAGAATATTTTGACTTTATATACACTGTCAATTTTAGTTCAATTATTTTGTTTCTTGCGATTTTTGTTTTAATTTTGATACAGGATATTTTGAAAATAAAACCTAATTAAATTTATTTATTATTTAATTCGCAAGGGCTAATTGAAATAATTAATTTTATTAATTTATACTAATATTATAAAGCTGAAGAGTTTGTTTGTTTGAACGCGCTAATCTCAGAAACTACTGGTCCGATTTGAAAAATTCTTTCAGTGTTAGATAGCCCATTTATCGAGGAAGGCTATAGGTTATATATCATCACGCTAAGACCAATACGAGCGGAGCACCAATGAAGAATGTTTCAAAAACGGAGAAAATTTATTACTATTGAGAGACGCAGACGAAGTTGCGCGGGTCAGCTAGTGTCAAAATAATTTTATCGGTATTTGCGGTCCGATACGACCTTCAAACCTTCAAGAAAAGAGTGTACTCTTTCCTAAGAGGCCGGCAACACGTTTGTGACTCATGAGTTGTAGACGTTCATGGGCTGCGATGGTCACTCTCAGGTGACCCGTCTGCTCGTCCGCCTCCTCTACCAAAAAAAAAAATGCTAATTACAATTATTTTGTAGTACATAAGCTAATTATCCTACGTATTATTCTATCGCTGTATCAAATTTCATCCAGATCTGTGCAGCTGTTCTGGCGTGATTGAATAACAAACATCCATACAACCATCCTCACAAACTTTTTAGTTTAAAATATTGATGAGAGTACGTACCCTTCGATTATATTAGCTTTTTCTATAAGGAGTAGATATATGTTAATGTAGACAGTTTTTTTTGGTTTATGGTATAGCAGGTAACCGAACAGGTGTGTCACCTGATGGTAAGTGACTACCGCTACCCGCATGACTAAGTCTCATAAGTGCGTTCCCACCAATTCAGTTCTTCTCCCCAACCTTCAGAATCAGTGGGAGAGGGGATTTGGGTGCTGGTAACTTCACTCACTTGGTGAAAAGCGAGGAAAGAATTGCTCAATATCGGTGAAGCCGTGGTATCATACCAGTCGAGCCGCACCATTCTCCCACGGTAATAATATAATAATAATAATAGTATACTAAAACATTCACACTCACAGTCCTAAACTAAACAGAACTTGTACTATGGGTACTAGACAACTAATATAAGTACATATTATATTCTTTTTTGTAAATATTTATGTAATATTATACATGTTTGTACACACAAATGTTTGACTTGAGCGGGAATCGAAACCGCGACCTTTGGCATAGCAGTCCGTTGCACAAACCACTACGCCATCCGATAGTCAGATATGACTAGATAATAGATTACACTAAATATTTACTTTTGTGTGCCTCTATTATTTTTAAATTAACAATACTAGGCCAAATGCAGGCCATACATCCTTGAAAAGGAAATGCATCCCTGAAAAGGAAGAAAAATAAAAGAAAAGCATATCAAAAAAATATATTTATTCCATGATCAGCCTTAATCATATCAGATGCCTTTTCTCCTATCATAATTGCGGGAGCGTTCAAATTACCGCTCACAATTTTTGGCATTATACTAGCATCTACCACTCGAAGACCCGTCACTCCCCTCACCCTTAATCTTTCGTCAACCACACCTTTACCCTCTGGGCCCATGGCACAAGTACCTGAAGGATGCCACTGAGTCGTTCCTGTGTTTAGTACAAAACATTTCCAGTACGCATGACTGTTAAATGGCAAAGAGTTGCATTGAGGAATTTTTACATCAATAACTTCTGCGCTAATACTTCTAAAATACGGGGTATTTACTACACTAACGTAATCTTCGACATACCGAGCGTGATTCTCTAAATCCCTTTTGTCAGAATAAAATCCATTGTAAATTAAAGGACTTACTGCAGGATTACTGCTATTCAATCTTATTTTTCCCCTGGATTCTGGGTGCAATAGAGAAAAAATTGTGTAGAGAATCTTCCTATTTTTGTTAGCTTCGTAAAGAGCATCACATATTTTGTCATTTGCACGAAAAACGTAAGAACATATTATTGCAGAAATAGGCGAATAAGCTGGTAGAGGAAACACAGAAGCTTGATAATCAGGCACAGTTTCAGATTTATTCAAAGCCCCATGACCGAGTACGCACGGTGAAGGAAATTTGTCCAAGTTTATCAAAAGTTCAAAGTTTTCTATGATTGAAGAAGTATCTTTTTCAACTCCTATTGGAACAGCGACAATAGGATGATCCTGTAAATTACTGCCGACGTTTGGGGAATCCAGTAAAACATTAATCCCCATCCTCTGCAAATGCTCTCGAGGACCTATACCAGATAACATTAGAAGTTGAGGGCTGTTAATCGCTCCTGCTGAAGTAATTATTTCTCGTCTTCCAAAAACGTTTATAATTCTTTTATTTGGCAACTGTATTTCAACTCCAATTGCCTTTTTGTAATTATTAAATAATATTTTTCGTGCTAAAGTATTTCTTAGCACAAAAAGATTTTTTCGATCTTTAATTGGCTCGAGAAAAGCTGTACCAGTGTGCTGACGAACACTATTGTCGATTGTATATTGAGGAATAACATATCCCAGCTGCTCCTCCCCGTTGCAATCTGAGACTATTTTATGCCCATTTTGATGAAAAGCTAATAAATATTTTTCTACCCGTTTCTTCCACAATGGTCTAGTTACTCCTAAGTATCCTTCTGTATTATGATAGTTGCCAAAGTCATATTTGGTAATAATTTCGTCATTGAGACGTTCACTTTTCTTAAAGTAATACAATACTGTATTCCAATCCCATCCCTCATTACCTTGTTCGACCCAATCATTATAATCCTTTTTATTCCCTCTCACGTAGAACATGTAGTTCGCTCCACTAGAGCCACCAAGCATCTTGCCTCTCGTTAGGTGAACACTTTTCTTTTGAAGCGCTTGACTAGAATATCTATCATTTGCTGTGTAATAGTTCCAATCCGACGTAGAATAATCCACGAATGCAAATAACCCAGGATACTGAAAAGGCAAATTAAAAAATCTTTATAATAGACTTTACATTAATAAATTGAGTTGGAAAATGTTGATAGAAATTTAGTAGAGATGACTGTTACGTTTAAAACAATTCTTCAAAAAACTTAAAACGCTATTACGTCATGTATGCGATTATATTACCAAGTTTCAAGGGTAAAAAACCACTAGCAAACATCGTAAGACTGCCGATGAGCAGAAATCTAGTTAGTGTATCTCCTGGGAAACTTATTTGTATGCTACGAGTATATTGAGAAAGAAAATATTTGCCAGCACACCTTTGCGCTTAACGGTGGATTCCCACCAGCTTCTATAAGTAACACATTCCATCCTGAGATCTCGGTGAGTCTGTTGGCAACCACGCAGCCAGCTGATCCCGCACCGATCACTATGAAGTCGAATACTTGACCATCTGGAACGGAAAATGCTATGACATTTCAAGGATTTGAGTTCTGATATCGATGTCACTTAGTATTAGGAGGGCTCTAAATAAAGACTATCTCTGCTTTCATCTTTCTTTTAAACTTTTACTGACGTATCATTAATGTTTTTCTGGCTGGCCTGTCCGCTAGGCCAGAGGTCATGGGTTCGTTTAGGATAAATATTGTGTGAAGAGCACGATCATTTGTATTGTGTCTGGGTGTAATTTATCTATAAATATGTTTTGTTACCCTAAGATGCTTATGGTCAGATATTTTCTCAAAATAGGAACTAATACGAACCTGTTACTTCAGCCTGTGGTGGAAAATCCCGGGCATCAAGTTGAAGATCGTCTATTGAGCTTAACACATACTGTAGCAAGGTTATCAGCGGCCGCAGCGTCTTACTGTTAAAAATTGATAAGAAACGCACCAGAACATTCATCCTATAAAGAAAGTGGTCATTCAATACATTATTCTATTTTTATGTTTAGGGTTGAGACATTATTCTTGAAATGCATACACGTACAAAAACACAAATATATGTATGTAAAAAAGTGTGTATTGTGTGTATGTGTAGGTAAGTATCAACCTTCACACACACACAATACACACTTTTTTTAGAACTTTACTACTAACTCAAAAAAGGAACAAAAATTTCATCAGTGGTATACTCGTATATACGCAATAAAAATACCTATTGAGCGTGACGTCTAACACAGTCACTGTATTTAGCTGCGCAACTTGAAAAAGGAACCCGTTAAGGGTTAGAAAACAGTCAGGCATCACCAAAATACCGCTTCAAGTACAAGTTAGTAAAACAGTATTTAAATTCAAAAAAGGCAAAATATGTTCTTTGAGCGATTTTATGGTTATGTATTGTTTTTAATATCACATTCCAAATTCAAATTTTATTACATAACCAGGAATATAATGCACTAGATATGTATCATGCGAATTTTATGGACTTTTACAGCTGAGACCGAGACGTGTTCCGCGCGCGCCTCTACAAACCGGTAGGAGGGCAAAGCCCTCTGCTCTCAATGATTTGGCTGCCTATGACGGCTAAGATAAGACTTCCTTTCTAGGATATACCCGAGTCCTTTTCAATACATGGGATGGAACACCGTGTGATTTTAGATGGTTCGATTCCGACATATCACTTCACCGTGAGCCCGTGAGGTGATGACCTGTGGAGGTTTCCACACGATAAAAAAGAGCTATAGTCCTTTTTTGTAAACTCTATGGATTTTTACCTTTTTATTTAAGATTCCGAATTAAAAAACTTGTTAAAAGTCAGCAACGCACCAGGTCCAACGGCTATATTGACTTTTCACAGATAATTATTATATGTAAAGACAAATGTGTTTGTGTGCTCTATGGAATCAGCGAAATAAAGTTGTTAATATACAATGTGTAAAATACTGACCGCTCGTCAAGTACGAAACCATTAAATTAATAATTAACGGCCATAAAGCCTATAAAAAGATAAAATATAGCTGTACTCTGCCACGCTTTGCTGTGGCACATTGTAGTAATGAGAATTGAGGAACAGAACTGACGCGATAAACACATAGATAAAACAATCTTTAATGCAGTTTTTATATCGTATCAAAATTTGATATTAATCGGTGCAGAACTTTTTGAGTTTTTGAAGCATTCACAAACCAACTTAACATTTTATATATAAAGATCTATGCGTCACGTTTTATAAAGCACCTTATGAGTACCTTATTGGTACGAACGTTGCGTTAAGAAACTGACTAAAATTTACTTAATACTAATCGGATTAAAAGAACTTTAAGGGATTTATAAATTATTTGATAGGTTGTAGTGGTTTACGAGTATTGTGGGTTGGAGCCCCACATGGAACTACACTCTGTGTGATCCACAAATAGTTTTTCTGAGTCTAGATCTTCTTTGTGTCCGTTTTATGTAGATATGGTTGTAAAGTTCCCCGCGACACAGGTATATTCCTAGTGCGGAAGTTGTATGGGTATCACTTGTTTTATACAACTTTGTCTTATTTCAGGTAGATTTCAGATAGTAGTCACTCTAATCGCCATAAAAATTACAATCCTACACTATTATTTATTCAGTTTCGCTGTTTCTGTTTGCTAGACTATCGAAAAAAATAGATGATTTAAAGCCTCTGGTGTCAGAGAAAAAACTCCTTACATTACTTCCCGTTTATATCTAGATAGGATACTGATAGCTTAATGAATTATCAATAAAAAATAAATAACAACACTATGACAATACACTAAAATAAACACAACACATAAGTACCTCTTTTTTCAAAATCCAAAAAAAAGAAATAGTTACCTAATAAAAATATGGAATCACTTTTAAAAATCTCAGAAACACTGAAACTGCTTTTATTTTTAAAAAGAAATCGTCATTCTATTTTCAAACACAATATTTTTACGAAATGTTCAATCCAATTCGATGTCACTGAAAGCAGTAATGGTTCAAACTAAGTTCGCACAACGACTAAATTCGTATGGTCAGTGTAGCATAAATTAAATAAACGTCCGGAACAAATTTTAATATTAAAATAACCTTCGAAAATTAATCACAACGGCACGCAACAATATCGAACAAGTTTAAAAAAAAACAATATGTTTTTTCATCTCTATGCCATAAGGCACCGGAATACATCTATGTAGCCTGATCAAGATTTACGAGGTTGTATTCCAACACCCACATTTTTACACTTCGTTTAGTAGATTATATAATATTTATTGTATTTTTTATTTTATCTAATATACTTAATACACTTAGGTATAAAAATCAATATGACATGTGTTTGTTTGTATTTTATAAGCTGTCGTACTGTGCCAGTTATAATGAAATTTTGCATACAATATGTATGCAAAATTTCATTATAACTGTCAGTCAGTCAGTCAGTCAATAGTCAAAGAAACAAGAAGGAAACTCGATATCTTTCACACAGAAAAAAGTATTGATTCCTAGGGATAAAAACGAAGAAAGATCATTAACAAATATTAATAATTTTGTAAAGCTTTGCTATTGTTGCAACAATCAATCAACAGGTGGTTGAATATTTGAAAATATACACATATTTTAAATCCAAAAAACTTAGTACGCATATTAAATATCTCTTATTAATTAAACAATGTCATATTATATCTTGAAAAGTGCTCATAAAGCTTTAAGAGTACTATTACTAGTAAACTAATAAAACATACTTAGCTAAAGTAACCAATCTGTGGAACGGGTTATCGTCTGCGGTATTTCCGGACCGATACGACCTTCAAACCTTTAAGAAAAGAGCGTACTCTTTCCTAAAAGGCCGGCAACGCGTTTTTGACTCCTGAGTTGCAGACGTTCATGGGCTGCGATGGTCACTTTCCACTCTAACATAAAAAAAAAATAGTAGACCGACTAATTCGACGTTATAGGCTGTTAATGTAAATGTGAAAAGTCTAAAAAATTAAATAACTAAATGTTCTTGTCTTGTTTATATATTTACTTATGTATGGTGTATGCTGTGTTTTTTGAAATAAAAATTTATTCTATTTTATTCTATTAGTTCGCATTTTTGTGATAGGTAACTTCGGCGCCCTACATTGGGCGTAGCTCGACACGAACTTTGTCGGCTTTTTATTTATACTTCCTGCAAACCCATTGCATAGGGTGCCGGGTATACCTTTTCATCCAGTCAACTTTTGGTTGATGCAGAGTTGTGTGTGGCTCATAGCAGTCATTGGAGAGGATCTTAAGGGCCGCGGTCGGGCCGTCACCCCGACCGCCCTGCAAGCTCCACTCCAAGCAACGACTTGGCCCGCTTACCCCGTTGGGCGGACGGCCCAAGTGGGTTTCCACACATAAAAAAAAGAACTGTGTGTGTCAGGTGCAAATTTGAAACTGATAGAAAAAATTAAAAATTTGCATGTGTGAATTAAATTAGCGTATTTGGTTGCCGGGAAACAAGCCACGACCTTAGTGTAGAAACCGCTGTTTAAAATTTAAAATTATCATTAGGTATTAGGTATCTATCGTGAGTAGGGAGGCAGGCCGCGTCACCTACCGACTGACTCAGGTACTCACTGGGCATGGCTGCTTCGGTATTTCTCCAGAAAGAGACGGCTGAACGAGATCGGGAGAGGGCTTTACTAGGATCCGGGGGGACCTGAAGTAACATGGTCCGGGTCCTTCTCGGACCTTCACATGAGTCCGGTTGTCAGGGTGGTTCGTAGTGGAAAAACCAGATACTCCTGGCTCCTACATCCCCAACTAGCCATAGATCCGAAGGGATTTTCCACCCCGTCAATAAAAAAAAGTTATCTAACTTGAGGTATTCCTTGTTTCATGAGGAGTCAATCTGTGCCAATCTGTGTAACAAAATATTGTCGCCTGCGGTATTAATTTCCGGACCGATACGACCTCCAAACCTTCAATAAAAGTCCGTACTCTGACCTCAAAAGCCGCAACGCGCTTGTGATTTTTGAGTTGTGGGCGTTCATGGGCGGCGGTAGTTATCTTCCATCAGGTGACTCGTCTGTTCGTTTACCTCTTATGTCATAAAGACTCGACGTCATACGTACCAGTATTACTTATTATGCATAAGGCTTGGCACCGACTTCAAACAGACTAGAAGAGACTGATGCTACTATAATGTTACCTGCATGCCCCTAATCTGAGGTTCCCATTCTCTGGCAATCCGCTGCCCGTCTTCTACGCTCGGGATCGGCCCTCTCCTGATCCCGTCCAGCGGTAACTGTAGGTACCAGCCTCCCTAGTCTAGTGATATGTAAAAGTTTAGGCAGAACGGAACCGGCACCGACAGCGCGTTTCGCGGCTGTTAAAGTCGCTTGCGCAAATGCCAGTCAGTGTCAATGACCAGAGAAATATATTTCGTTGTTAAAATTTAAAATTTGTTAGCGTTCGAGTGATTTTTAAGGCTTGCGCGTATAACAATATTCTTGATAAATCACATTTATGTGCGAAAAAACTTTACACGTTCATTGCAATCTATTACGCCCCTAATATCTCGCCACTCAGGCCTGGGCCTATTGGGCCTCGGGGAAATTCGCTACTGATCCTAAGGTTGCCTAAAAGAGATATTGAGGAATAAGGCCTTTGTACATTACTATATCTGTCATTTTTATGTTATAATAGGTACTACTCTTGTAAAAATCACAGTGTACTAATAAAGAGTTTTCTATCTATGTATATTACCAAAAGATCTCCTGTTGTTCGAATTTCTACCGCGTAAATGTCTTATTTAATTACATTGTATAATATAACTCTTAATGGTGAATATATTTTGTACCATGTAGGTTTGTACATGCACAGTTTTATATAGCCCGTTTTTACGTAATTATATACTTTGTATAACATTTTCTTAAATTAAATCTGTCTACCGTGCTCCTACATAAATATAAATAAGTCTCCCAAATGTGCTTCCGTGGTCCATATTTGTTTAAAAAAAGCACAAAGAATTTTCTTTACGTTGAAGCTAGCTTTTGCCCGCGACTTCGTTCGCCTGGTGATCGACATCAGCCATCGTAGAGGATACAATGTTGATAGAGATATCATTATACTGAGAGTTTGGGATCGATAAGTTAAAACGAAATAGAATAAAACACCCCTTTTTAAGGGTAGTTTTGAATAATTAGTAACAACGTTTTTTATTACTTTCAATAAACAGTCTTTACTATGAGTTTGAAAACGCTACTACCAAATGTTACGAAGTTTCATATAAATTTTGAAACCCCATTTTGCACCCTTAGGGGTAGAATTTTCAAAAATCCTTTCTTAGTGCGTACGTCACCTAAGAAACATTTTTGTAAAATTTTATGCTTCTAGACCCATCGGTTTTGAGTTTTTAGCTGTACGTTGATCGATTAATCAGTGAATTAGTCAGTCAGTCTTTCTTTTTTTAAAGATAAACATAGGTATAAAGATATAGGTAATGTCTCTTTTGTCTCTAACCACTCATTAATTTCTATTTATTCTTATAGTTGTAAAAATTAAAAACATTAATATCTACGTATAAATGAGTGACCAGCGTAATTTACATAATTTAACCGGTTATTCTCAAAAGGCCTTGACTTTAGGAGACATTTTTTTTTTTAATTGTCGATTAGATATGGTATTTTACTTGTAGAAGCGAACACGTCATACGCCACCGCGCTGGTTATAAATTTGTAACATTTAAAAAATGACGGGTAAGCTATAAAGAATTACAGGTTAGTTTTAATAAATTACTAGTATTTCCCCCCAGTTTTATCTGCGTTTTAAGGAGAGGTTTATGTCTAGCAGTCTAAAGGCTGTTGATGATGATGCTCTCCACCCATGTTAGGTTAAATACCCAATGTATGAGAAAATTCATTTTTTACAATACTTTAATAGTTATTCGGGACGGAGACAAATGCAATCATAAAAATCGGTCCAGCCGTTCTTCAGTTATAAATGGTGTAAGTGACCCGCTTTTGTTTTTTTATTAAGTTTTTTTTTTTTTTGGACGCATAATTGTAACTACAAAAAAACGGTGTTAAGCAATTCTTTCGTTGCCTTTCACTGAGTGAGTGAGGTTACCGGAGCCCAAATCCCCCCCGCTGAATCGAGCGGGAGCGACTCCAAGGGCAGCAACGCACTTGTGACTTTTGAGTTGCAGGTGTCCGTCCATGGGCGGTGGTAGTTGCCCACCGTCCCCGTTGCCCGTCTGCTCGTTTGCCCACTTATACCATAGAAAAAAAAACAGTTTTCAAATAACGTTGAGTTTGCTTAAATATAATAATTGAAAAAAAAAAAATTTGAGCAAACTCAACGTCATTTGAAAGCCAAAAACTTGAACTTTAAGATACCTTGTGTACTTTTTCAGGCACAATAAAATTTGAATACATAACATACATAACCTCAAAAATCTGCGAAAATAATGGCGTTTTTTTTGCACTTTTAGATTAGAATAATCGTCGATGTCAATGTCAAGTCAGTCAGTCAAGCCAATGGTTTGATATTCCGCTCGACCAAAGTGATTCAATTCCTTCGTTGATTTTCAGCCATTGATTGAGGTTACTGGAGCCTAAACCCCTTTTCCTGATTCTAAGGGAGAAGATTGAAAGAGCGGTAATGCACTTGAGACTTTGCAGTTTGTTGCAGTGTTGCAGTTCTCCATGGGCGAAGGTAGTCGACGACTACCAGGTGAGTTGACTGCTACCATTCTGATACCAAGTCGATATCAAGTCGATACCAATTCGATACCAAGTCGATACTAAGTTAAACCGGTAGTTTTACCTTTTTTGAGTCCCCTTTTAGTCAAACTTAAAATGTTTGTGATCTGTGTGTCAGTAACTGCTAAACCAGAGATGTGGCTTCGATTCTCGCCTTATAGGTATCTATAATTAACGTTTTCAGCAGTCTGGTTACCATAGTACAGGCTTTGTCTGGGTATTTCAAAATCAGACGGCTAAAGATATTGTAAAAATCGCCTAAAATATAACAGACTGCAAACAGTGTAATTGTAAGGCCATCTTTCAAGGTATCATGTTTACTTATATTTTATTTAATATGAATATCGAGTGCCATTGACATATATTTGGTATATAATGGTAATTTAAAGCTCTACATTAAATTACCATTTTTAATGAATGACGTTCCATTTACACAGAAAAAAAGTATACGTCGTACATATACGTGAAGGAACAGGTTCCTCGGCATACCAAAAAATGGCAATGATTCGAATAATTAATTACAGCAGAAATTTATGAATCACCTTGAGCCTGTATAATAGTACAAGGTTTATTTTTTATTTCTAAAAGAGCTTTAATACATCTTGCTGTAGTTAGTCTGTGTGTAAACTTAGTGTAGAGTTTTTGTCTCTTCATATTAACAGGTTAGATATTATTTTATTTAGATACATACTTCAAGAAATTTTGCGTGGTGTTTGTAACTCAGTGAAAGCGGGATTTGTCCCGGTATTAACAGATAAGTGAAAAAATATGTTTTTAAAATTAAACTATTTATTTTTTATTTTTAGGGATAACAATAGCTGCAATTCTTAACTAGATATTAAACTTTGATTACATGAGTAGCCAATAAAAGTTGCCCACAGTAGATACATAGAGTGGATGAATATGGCAAATAAGCTGAATAAATTTATTACTGCTTAAATTTAAGTCTCAAATGTGACGTGATGCGTCTTCTGTTATGCGCGCGTTTTTGAAATAGATTGGATTTTATTCATTTTTTATTTTACTTATTTTAATATACCTTCATTTCCGTCAGTGACACTACCGCTCACATACGTACTTTTATTTCTGTCATCTTTTAAATGGCAAAACAGTGTTTAAAGTGTGTTAAGCTCTTTAAAATTAATACAGACATCTACCTCAACAAAAAAATGACAAATGTGTAGAATACCATGGTGAAATAACAACTGAAACATTATAAGTATACAGTTTTTGTAAACTTAACGTAGGTACTAGTAAAATTTAAAAGTTCTGCACAATTCAGGCCTCGACCTCATCAGTGATACAAATACTCGCCACAAGTTATAACATTATATATAATAATATATAAGCCGCTTCCTACTACGCCGAGTGTTGTGGGTTCAAACCCCACATGGGACGACACTTTGTGTGATCCACAAATTGTTGTTCTGAGTCTGGGTGTTCTTTGTGTTCGTTTCATGTATGTTTGTAAAGTCCCCCGCGACACAGGATTTATTCCTAATGCGGGAGTTGTCTTTTTTAAAAAAAAAAATAAGAAAAAATAATAATAAAAATAATTTCACAAAGCGAGTTCATTCGTATGTTCAGCATGCACAGACCTCCAAAAAGAGCTCCTAAATATGCTCACAAATTGGAAATCCGAACAAGACGTAACGTGTCGACGGAGGTGGCGTGCGCGTTGGCCGGAACTCCCCCGTGGGATTTGGAGGCGGAAGTGCTCGCCGAAGTTTATCGGCGAGTGGCTGACTCCCGGGCGGAGAGCGGATTTCGCCCTCCGCCCGAGGATGTGCGCGAGTGGCGCGAAGCCGCTCGCCGAGCCACGATGGCTCGTTGGTTGTTCCGGCTGGAGACTCCACGCGCTGGCTTCGCCGCCGTGGAGGCTCTCCAGCCGGTCATCGCCGAGTGGACAGGGCGGCAGCACGGCACCCTTACCTTCCGGCTGACGCAGGTGCTTTCCGGGCACGGTTGCTTCGGCAAGTACCTGCACTCGGTCGCTAGGAGGGAACTGAGTCCCGCCTGCCACCACTGCGACTGCAGTGAGGACTCGGCCCAGTACACGCTGGCGGTCTGCCGGGCCCTCACTGCAGTCATCGGAGTCGATCTCTCGCTACCGGCCGTAGTACGCTCCATGGCCGGTAGCGACAGTTGTTTTACCGCGGTCGCAACCTTCTGCGAGGAAGTAATCTCGCAGAAGGAGGCGACGGAGAAGGCCCGGGAGGACGACTTCCACTCGGACCCGATACGCCGCCGGCGAACCGGGCGGCGGAGGAGCGCCTATCACCGCCTCATGCCGCCCTGAGTGTGGCCGCGGGTGGACGGGGTGGGTTTCCCCTCCACCCGCATTAGTTTGGCCAGCCGCGAGGGGGCGGCGTCCGCGTGTGCCGGACGTCGCCTAAAGAGAGGAAATAATAATAATTTTTGAGACGGAGCCCGCAACAGGAGCGGGCCGGCGCTAGGAGGGGTCCGGATGTCTTAATAACAGCTGTTCCCGGATCCCTCCTATTACAGGCGCAGAGTGGCACACCGTGTGGTTTTAGTCGGTCCGAGTCCGACACACCACCCCGCCGCAAACCCCGGTGGGGTGACGGTCCGAGGGGATTTCCACACGTTAAAAAAAAAAAAAAAAGGGTTGCTGAGAGGCATGAGAAATAACTAATATAATGTAGCTATCCATGTGGATATCCATCCAGTAGTTTAAGCGTCAAAGGTTTTTTTTAGATGCTTTTTATTCTTTAACAGAATATGTGTGTGTGCCTTTTGTACCTCCTGTGTAAATGTGTACCATAATTAGTTTTTTATTATATCCAGGATGAATTTCCTAGAGCAGTTCTTATCACTGTTAAACCCCAAGATCATACGTTCACTGTTAACCTTACTACAAGCCGTGTTCCAGGCAATAGACGAACTGGAACTTGACGCCCGAGATTTTCCTCCACAAGCTGTGGTTACCGGTACGTTTTATTCTTTTCTTACACTGATATTTAACAACTGCCATTCCTCCCAATAGGGTAAATTTTATTACGAACTAGCTGCCCTAACACGCTTCGCTGTGACATATTGTGATTGCATTGATGAGAATTGATAAAACCATATTTGAAGCGGTTTGTACATCGTGTGAAAATTCGAACATTTTTATTTTTCGAAGCGTACAAAAAACCAACTTAACGTTTATATATATTTATAGATTATTATAAATAATTTTTAAAAGGCATAACCCACTTCAATGCATCAACATCATGGTGAATATTGTTATAAATTTTATTCTCCATTCCTTAACTATTCACCCTTAGGATGCTTATAGGAAAAATGTAGGTACTCAAGAAACTAACATAAGGAAAAAAGAGTGAGATACAACCTTGTATCAGTTCGTTTTCTTGAGTTTTACTCACAAATTAATTCTAGTTGAAATAATTGAGTTGAATAATAAATGACTCGAAGGTATTTTCGACATCATCTAATGTTACATCAATCATAATCATACAAGCAAAATCTCAACGCGTCGTATTCGTTGTGTATCACTTGATACTAGATGGCGCTGTTCTCTAAATTCCATAAGACTCGATTGTTTACAAACTAATTACACTATCCAAGGAACATTTAATCCTGTGGCGCAATAATATTATTATAGAAAACATCCGAGAATTTTTATGATTTGTAACGTGATGTAAAGAACATGTTTTTGTGCGCTTACATTGCAAACGCTGGCTAAACCTTACGAGATAGATCAAAATAATATAATACAGAATTGTATATCTTGAAAAAATCTACAAAAGAATTTGCAATTGTACATGTTTATCTCCTAGGGATAACCCACAGTAACCATTTTTATATTTTACATATTACAAAGAAAATGTACAAACTACTTTAAACAATACAGTATTATTTCTTATTCAATTAAAAACGTTAGATACTTTGTGAATATAATTTAGATTAAAATAGCCTTTCACGGCATTTCGTTAACATAAATATCTATAAAGATATCAGAGATTTAACATGCGGGGGCAGAGCGGAGATCGGGCCGTACGTCCGTCTCAGATAGGAGCGACCGGCCTTTATATTTATATATATATACTCGTATGTATATATATATATATAAATATTAAGTTGGTTTATGTATGCTATCAAAACTCAAAACGTTCTGCAACTATAGAGCTGAGATTTAGACACGATATACAATTTATTTATTTATTATACAATTATTTATTAATTTAAATTAATTATTTTTTGCAACCACAATGTGCCACAGCGGCGCGAGACAAGGTACCGCTAGTTTAAAATAATTTTATGTAACACAATAACACCAAAAAAAATTTTGCTAATCTGTTTAATATTAATCATATAATACATTTATATATTGTTGGATCTTAAATTAATAAGTCTTGATTCTGCATTTATATTTTATTTAATAATTGAACAGATAAAGAGTGTTAAATACACTATAAAGGGTCATCCACAAATTACGTCACATACTAAGGGGTTCGGGTGCGACATAACCACCAGTGGGTGGTATCCGAGGGGATTTCCGCACAGTAAAAAAAATAGGTATTCAACAGGAATAAACTGGGTAGAAGAATGATGTTTATACCCAATTGACTGGCCTTTTGGCCTAGTGGTTAGCGGTTCTGACGGCTAAACCAGAGGTCGTGGGCTCGATTCCCACCCAAGACAAATAATTGTGTGATAAACATGAGCAGTTGTTCTGTGTCTGGGTGTAATTTATCTATGATATGTACGTATGTATTTAGGCCGTGGACTGTGAGTAAGATATCTAAAGTTATTATTACTATAATTTTCCATTTTCCATTACCTAATTTTCCATTCCAGATGGTCAAGAATTTGACTTCATAGTGATCGGTGCGGGATCAGCTGGCTGCGTGGTTGCCAACAGACTCACCGAGATCTCAGGATGGAATGTCTTACTAATAGAAGCTGGTGGGAATCCACCGTTAAGCGCAAAGGTATGAAAGCAAGTAAAACGATTTATTTTCTACATTTTACGGCTGAACGGTTGGCGTAGTTTTTTAAGCAATAACCTCGCAGCTTGCTACTGCGCAGAGTTCTGTGAGTTCGATCCCCACATGGGACAACACTTTGTGTGGTAGATAAATTGTTGTTTTGAGTCTGGGTGCCCGTTCTATGTATGTTGGTAAAGTCCCCCGCGACACAGGATATAATCCTAGTGCGGGAGCTGTCCCTTGCTAAAAAAAATGAATTTACCAGAAAAATTATCATCACGCTGGCCAGACGGGTTGGTATACTGTTTGTTTCAAGTTTTCCTTCTCTTTGCAGTGCTGTTGTCCTGCAGAGTTTGCTCCCTTAGTCGGTCCTTATGGCACCCACAGAATGAATAGGGTGGTGACAATCCGTATTCTTATTCCGTCACCACACAGACAGTTATTATACTTTAAAATTAATTAAGTGTATTAATTATTTTATATCGATATATTATTACTAATATGTTGCGTATGTATTGTTAAATAAAGTTTTATAGCCACTTAACTAAAAGTTAACCTAGGTTAACTTGAACAAAAAGTTGTTATTGTAATATTGTCACGTCAATCCTAAATAAATAAATAAATTTCCATAATCAAGTTGATTATGTACATGTAAATTCCTCTTTAAATTGTATGGATTGGACTTTATGTTTAGGATTAACATAGGTGTAAGAATATTATTCTAAATATTTTTAAAAACATACTTTAATGGGCACAGAATAAGAGACCACCTGTTATGGTGGAAAGCCTTTTATAATAATAATAATAGCCAAAGCCGACTAAAGTTGTTTGTTCTCAAAGCACTTTAAAGAAGATGGTGGCCACGTTCGTTGGAAAAACTGGCCATGTTGCGACTATTGCACTTGAAGATCGTAGAACGGTTAACGCAGAGTGGTATACCACAGTTTGTTTACCACAAGTCATCGCAGAACTTCGTTTACTAACTCAAAGCGACGCATCATCCTGCACCACGACAACGCAAGCTCACACAGCGCTCGTCAAACGATTGAGTATTTGAAGCAGGAAAAAGTAGAAATTCTTGACCATCCTCCATACAGTCCTGACCTAAGCCCTAACGATCTCTTTACATTTCCTAAAATTAAGAAAAGTCTTTGGTCAAAGGTTCCAGTCCGGTGAAGAAGCAGTCGACGCTTTCAACTCAGCCATTTTGAACACCCCCCATTTAGAGTGAAATAAATGTTATAATAACTGGTTTGAGCGAATGGAAAAGTGTATTAAGCTGAATACTTTGAAAAACAATAAAAAGTACTATTAGGTTCTAGTTGTGTTTTTTCTTCAAACGACAAATCTTAAAAGGCATGCCTCGTATGGGGGCTTTTTTTATACCACCAGTCTTATTGGTGAACTTTTCAAAGGAGCTGAGTCTAACGTGTTATCTATCTTTTCTTATTTGTAATAATTTGCTATTTTATCTTTGATAATTTTCGTTTTGTCGATCTTTTTTCTAGGAGTTCGTTGGATTCTTCTAATATGTATGTATCTCCTATTGTTTGGTTCGCCTTCGATGTTGGTTTTAGGTATTGCTATTTGTATTTCGTGTATTGTATTTCTGTTGGGTGCTTAAATACTCAAGAGATGATTCTGTCACAGAGTTGAGATTCTCTTTTATTGTGATTATTCTTACGTTGTTATGTAGTATTATTGTTTTCGCTTTGAAAGCCTGGCTTGATTTTAGAGCAGATGATGTTATCAAACATGTTCTAAGCATCCTATGGTTGCTATTAAAGTTGAGATTTGTATGGCCCAGGACAATTTCTTCTCTGTTTCTTGGTCCTCCAACTTTTGCATTAAAATCACCCATAAATATTTAAGATATTTAATTTTATTAGATTAGATATTTTAGATTTAATTATATTAGATATTTAATTATGGTAAATATTGGTACTTACAAACTTACACGAAAATACCGGCTTTTTAAATACTGTTTTTTTTTTTAATTTATGTTTCAGTATCCAGGACTAGCTAACTTGGTTGATTATTCCACATCGGATTGGAACTACTATACAGTAAATGACGGTTATACTAGTCAAGCTTATCAGAAGAAAAGTATTCACTTGACTAGAGGCAAGATGCTTAGTGGCTCTAGTGGAGCGAACTACATGTTTTACATAAGAGGTAATAAAAAGGATTATAATGATTGGGTCCAACAAGGCAACGAAGGATGGGATTACGATAGAGTATTACATTATTTTAAAAAAAGTGAACGTCTCAATGACGAAACCACAACCAAATATGACTTTGGCAAATATCACAATACAGAAGGATACTTAGGGGTTACAAGACCGCTGTGGAAAAAAGAAACAGAAGAATATTTAAGAGCGTTTCAACAAAATGGACACAAAGTAATGTCAGACTGTAATGGTCCGGAGCAAATAGGGTACGTCATGCCGCCATTTACAATCGATAATGGAGTTCGCCAACATACTGCTACAGCTTTTCTAGAGCCCGTCAAAGACCGAAAAAATCTTTTTGTATTGAAAAAAACTTTAGCTAGAAAAATATTATTTGATGAATACATGAATGCTATTGGCGTCGAGGTGCGATTGCCAAATAAAAAAGTAATAAATCTTTTCTCTAGAAGAGAAGTTATTCTGTCAGCAGGTGCAATTAACAGTCCTCAAGTTCTGATGTTGTCTGGAATAGGACCTCGGGAGCATTTGCAGAGGTCAGGTGTAAATGTACTGCTGGATTCGCCAAATGTTGGTAGTAACTTACAAGACCATCCTGCTGTTTTAATCCCTATAGGAGTCGAAAAGGATCGAAGGTCCGTAATTAACAACGTAAATTTTTTTGTAAACTTGGACAAATTTCCTTCTCCGTGTATGATGGGTCACATTGCTCTGAATAAATCCGAAACTTACCCCGATTATCAAACATCTGTATTTCCTCTACCAACTTACTCGTATCTTCCAACAATAATATGTGGTTATGTTCTTCGAAAAGATGATCAGATATGTAACACTTTGTTTAACGCTAACAAGAAGAGGAACATTTTATTCTCACTCCTAGTCATGCTGCACCCGAAGTCCAAAGGTATAATAAGATTGAATAGCAGTAATCCCGAAGTAAGTCCTTTAATTTACAATGGATATTATTCTGACAAAAGGGATTTAGAAAACCACGCTCGGTATATCGAAGATTACATCAGTGTAGTTAACACCCCGTATTTAAAGAGTATTGATGCTGAAGTTATCGATGAAAAGATTCCTCAATGCAAGTCCCTACCCTTTTATAGCCATGAGTACTGGAAATGTTATGTATTGAATACAGTTACGACTCAGTGGCATTCGTCAGGAACTTGCGCCATGGGCCCGGAGGGTAAAGGTGTTGTAGATGAAAGATTAAGGGTGAGGGGGGTGACGGGTCTTCGAGTGGTAGATGCTAGTATAATGCCAACAATTGTGAGTGGTAATTTGAACGCCCCAACAATTATGATAGCAGAAAAGGCGTCTGATATGATTAAGGCAGATCATGGTGTAGAAATATTTGTTTGACTGCCTTATTTATTTAACATCATATACATTGTGCAAGATGGCTGGCAGGAGCTGGATGCGAGAAGCCCAAAATCGATCTAAGTGGCGTGCAATGGGAGAGGCCTATGTCCAGCAGTGGACTGCGATAGGCTGATGATGATGATGATGAAATTGTGAATTGTCATTGTCACATATAGAGGAACGCAAGTGATTTTCCTTTACCATAAAAAGAGGATCCTCCTGTTAAACGTATATTTATGGCGAACTGTGTACCGCCTGTGTACTAGCCCTGCGACTTGCTAAAGTTGCGTACTGACTGACAACTATGTACACTAGGAAAGAGGACCTCAAGAATTTCGATGGAATTTTGGCCACCTCATAAACATTAATTAAAGAAACATGTGTTCGGAGAGCCTTGTCACCTCTCCGGAATAGAAAGTCGCGCGCTGTCATGTCGCTCCACCCTCTCAAGTGGTTTCTGCTAAGTAAACCGACAGCCTGACGTGATCGTGACGTGACGTGACGTCACTTACAAGGTGCGGCCTTTTTCTAGCACAGTTACTGAGCAGTGTCCTTCAATATGGCAATGCTGGCAGCCTTCTGAGAACACAACCAGTTAGCGACGATGCGGAAACATTTTCAATTGACGTTTGAACGTAAACAGTTATAAAGACATTATACCTTTAATTGGTTAAGCCCATTAATTTATTGTGTTATATTATTGTTACGTAATGTGCCTAAGTTAAGAAACAAATACTGTTTAGGAAAATATATTACACAGTAGTAACTTTATAATTTTTTGAAAAAATGTGTAAGCATTTACTTTTTTTAAACGTATTTTCAAAAATAGTCTCAAACTACATTACCCGCCATTCTGATTTTATCCGACAACAAAATGTTTAACAAATGAATAAATTTAAAATAAATGTTGTTTCATTTTGTAATGTTTTGAATACTTGATTCACGTACTTATTTATGTTTATTTAAACTAATAATAAAATATACTTAAATTTTTCGAGTAAAAAACTCCATTTGGTCTAAATCTTGCCTTTAACATATTATATCTGTGTTATTATGTGTTCGTTACATATTTATGTATTTATTTAAATTATCAGCATGTACGAGTATATATTTTTGTAGACAATGTAATGTGTATTCTCTGTATATTTATATTTTGAATATCATTGAAAACAAATATATTGAAACAAGTTATTATAAAAAATAATAACCACACATATCTTACACACGGCCGTCTGGTCCCAAATCAGGCCAAGCCCGTACTATAGAAACCAAAATACTGCTAAACATACCTACTTCTATATTTCTAAACACATATTTATTTTAGATAAATTACACCTAAGACACCAGGGTCACTTCCTATTGATACAAAAACCTTCCAATTTAAAAACTTTACGATTGATTAACTGACTAACCTGACTTCATTTTCTCATCAAAATTTAACGAAATAAATAGAATTCATTCGAAAATTCCGTAAATATCAAGTGGAATCAATGACTATTAATACACCTTACATAAAAAGTACGTAATTATTATTTTTAAACATAAATATCGCATTTTAAAGATATAACAATTGAAAAATCAATGTGATTGATGAACGTAGCGACTTTTTACCAATCTAGCTAAATCTGGTTCAATATCGGTGAGCCAACAAACGGTTTCTTTGTTTTGGCAGAATGTTTATAACCACACTGAAGCCTTTTTCGACAGGGTATGATGATGGAAAAGCGATAAGGTATTTTTCAGCAATGTTCTACAATGCAGGATTCTCTGTTTCAATGTTGCGCTGCAACCAGAACTCCTTGGTTGAACTTCTGCTTAAACTCCTCGTCTTTGCTAATGGTAATCAATTATTTTTGCATTGATTTCTTCCATGGCTGTGATGTTGTACGAATTAACTTATCCATTGAGGAATTTGTAAATTTAAGAGATCCTCAAACCTCTTAGTAAAATCTTTGGTAATCTCTTGAAATAAATTAGTAGATAGTAGAATTGTAGACCAGCGTGCTATAGTAGGCCAAAACCTTCTTTCTAAGGAGAGACTTATGTCCAGCAGTGGACTGTTAAAGGCTGTTGATGATGATGATGAAATTAGTAGATGAGACCTATTTCTTAGCGTTCCATGAATTCATCGTGGGGGTGCCGAGTTCATCGCGTGATAGATGCAACACATGCAACTTCGACAGCGCCTGGGAATTGCGACCCAGTAATAGTTTTAGGGAATACTCTTTACGATGCGTCAGCGCTCACCTCCACTGTTACCCCCTTTAACTAACCATATTTGATACGAGCCTAGCAATGCCGTTTTGGATTGGATTCAAGAAAAGAGCTTACTGAAGCTCTTAGCAATCCAAGGTCTTAAGGCAGGTTATAGAGGGATTTAGCTGGTATACCGATGTGTGTGTACCAAAACGAAAATGAACTTGAAATTTAAGTCCGAGCTCGTTATATACTAAAATATCAGGAGTATATAGCCTGGAAGACTTGTGCACTTGAAGTCAACTTGTCCACGCTTATTAACTTTTTCAACTTGTACAACAAAAATACACCACTATCAACACTTATAATAAAATGTAAATGACAATTGATTAGCCACAAGAGATATAATTGTCTTAATAATTAATACAGAATTTCCCCATAAGTCAGTCGTTTTTTTTTTACATTAATACTGTGAAAGGCTAATAACTTCAAGGGGAGAAACATATTGGAACTTAAATTCACTATCAATCCCAACAAGATTATCTTTTAAAATTGATTCTGCCAGGCATGGACAGTAGAAAGTATCATTGTACTATTAAAAAAACTCAACAAGCGTAAAGCGTGCAGAATTTTGCACGCTTTTCGACTTGTTTTTAAAAGATAATCTTCTGTATTAATTATTAAGACAATTATATCTTTTGTGGCTAATCAATTGTCATTTACATTTAATTATAAGTGTTGATAGTAGTGTATTTACTGATCTTATGAAGCCCAGTAAAATTATTTCCTTATTCAAATTAGGTAGTACATCTGACCCAAATTGCAAATGACTAGCAAATTGTTTGCAAAATATTGTATAATCAATTACAAGGTTTTTTTAATAATAGATAATAACTTATTACACAATAGACAATTTGGTTTTATAAGAGGCTGCTCCACAACTGATGCAAATGTTGAGCTTATTAAAAATATAATTGATGCCTGGAAGGATGCCCACGATTCTCTGGGTATCTATCATCTAGACTTTCATCTTTCTTTCTTATCTTTGTTCATGAAACGCTGCAAGATATTTTGACTTTGAGGGTTTGAGAGTTCAATTTTAATCAATTTACTTGCAAATCAGGTATTTGCAAATAAATTGATTTGATTTGACTCTACGACAGAAACATGTTTTTTATGATGATGGGGCAAGCGAACAGACGGGTCACCTAATCAGGGAACGGGGGTGGTTTGTTTTTCTGTGCTTCTGTATTATTGGCATAATATACTCTATTACCCGTTTGAAGGCGCTAGTAAACACATAAAACTATCGTTTGCCAGCGGCTCGCTCGCGTGGTGTCGGCTATCGCTGTAAAAAGTAGCCAATGCTATTCGCTGGTAATGTAGGTTTCTATTGTTGAAAGAATTTGTTGAATCGGTTTAGTGGTTTAGACCTTAAAGCGTAACAAACAAGTAAACCAACAAACAAACTCACTTTTACATTTATAATAGTTTAAATTGTTAGTCTTTTATTAGTGTTAGTGAGTTATTGAAACTTCTAATTACATACTAAGTTGTTTTTATGTCAATAGAATTATAAATAAACATTATTTCTGGTCATGACGACCTCCGTGGCATACATTTGTGTAGGAATATATAAATTTTAATTGTTCGTGGCTATTTTACTCTTTGTGTTTTATATTATGTCACAGTACAACTCTGAACCGGTCAATTAAATGTTTGTAAGATCTGCAAATATTTGTGTCGAAATTTGGGTCTTTTCTATGTATAGTACGTATGTATTTACAAACAAAAAAGTATAAAAGTATTCTATTCTACCGACTTGTAAAAATACCTGAAAAGATTTACTTGCAGAAAAAAATATTATTTCATCATTTCGTTTCATTATCAGTCAATCTAACTTTCATAGTAGTAACTCTTCTGAAGCAGACTCTTGTCCCAGCCGCCTAACGTGACCCTCTTAAGGTGTTGGTCGAGACTCTTGACTATCAATCCGTGAGCAGATACGAGTATCGGAACAATGATTTGATGTGACTGCACGGTGGCGTAGTGGCTTTAACGGCCACCTCGCCGCTTTCTACTGCGCTGAGTGTTGTGGGTTCCATCCCCGAATGTAACAAAACTTTATGTGATCCACACATTGTTTTTCGGAGTCTAGGTGTTCTTTGTGTCCGTTTTATGTATGTTTGTAAAATCCCCCGCGACACAGGAATGTATTAATAATGCGGGAGTTGTCTTTTTAAAAATAACAAAAAAACCAAAAAAATGATAGTTGAATCCACATTCCACATTTCGACAATCTCGTGAGTTAAATCCATAAAAAAATATTTTATTTGTTTTGCCTTTATAACTAAATAACTTTCACGTGATTCTCGTTATGAGGAACGGCGATATCAACAACCATTGCGCGACGCTCCAATCGATCTATCACCACAATATCAGGCAACAATAGTCTTGTCTGTGAAAATAGATCGATCCGAGACTATTAATAGGTAATATTATTATTATAGTATTTTAGACTGATTTTCCGGTCAAAAATACTTTTGACTGGTGAAGAGTTCTAACTGTAATACAATACATATTCATTTATTTATTTATTTGGTATACCAATTGCGAGTAATAGGTTTTACCTGGTATGCATACCCATTACAGGATTATCATAGTAGATAACACCTACCATTATGTACCTAACTTATGAATTTTATGTTTACACATGCATTAGAATTAATTAAAAGACTTTGTATTTAAGGTCATTAGACATTGGTCTGCTGGTCTTTTCATAGAGATGTGTTGAGGAAAGTCCTGGATGAATTGCCCGGTCTTTTTTCTGTAATCGTACTTCGAATGCTTCATCAAAATGTCAGGTTTATGAGAAGGGAAAATTTTAGTACATATCTTAAAGAATAAAATAGACTGCATCTGGTTTTTCGACTGTTACTTTCACACATATTTGAGCCATATGCAGTTGAGCAATCTACTAAATAGTCAAGAAAGATAGGTGGAAATAAGTGATTAAATTCATGAATAGCAGTTGTGTTATCGTTTACGGAAAACTTTACCCCCACAGGATTACCGTCAAAATAAATCTTGTATGGATATTGCAGTTTGTACACGATTTTTTCATTAGAAGTTGTGTCAGTGTGGGACGAACTTCGTGGCATGTTTTTTAAAAGACTTGATGAAAAGTGCAGCTAGCCGAGTATCTACGCTGTTCCTGGACTATCTCAACTTGGCTGTTTTCAGCCTCCTCACGAGAAATTGGTGTTAAATTTCACAACTCCAATGTCCTATTTTGAGAGGCATCGAATAAAAGGGGCAATTGATAAAAAGACCTGAATCTTTCAGCAAGAGGTATCTATACAAATAAATAAAGTCTGTTTGTAATATTAAAATAACCGCTTTTTACTAAATGCATATATTATGTATGTTTACACGGTACATATGCCAAAATAATTTTTTTTACAATTTTTGTCTGTCTGTCTGTTTGTTCTCTGGAACGGCTAGACGGATTTCGACGGGACTTTCACTGGCAGATAGCTGATGACATAAGGAGTAACTTAGGCTACTTTTTTAGACTAGCTTCGCCCCGCGGCGTTCCCAACGGTTATAACAACAAACGCGGGTAACACCGCGGGTCTCAGCTGGTATATATATATGCATATACAGTAATTACAGTATATATGCATTAAAGTATAATTACTTAGCTAAGCAGAAAATGCATTTAAATTCTAGGAATAGTGATGTTCATTCGACAAACACTGGAAATAATTATAAATTAGTTATAACCTATCATCTACGTTTCTATGTAAAATATGTATGTATTTACAAAAAAAAGTATATATGTATTTATATCAGTTGTCTAGTACCCATAGTACAAGCTCTGCTTAGTTCTTAGGTTCTTCTTAGGTAGCTTCTTAGGTGGCGATGTGTGAATGTGGTAAAATATTATTATTATTATTACTACAGAAGTTTCATGACTAATAAAAACTTGTATGCTATACTTACACAATTTATTTATTTTCCTTGTAGTACATTTATTTATGTCATTAAATTCAATAAAAAAATAAACACGTAAACAAGCTTATTTCTTTCAGCGTTATGATGATGATGATGATGATGATGTTATGAGGAGACTCAATTCCAAATTTAATTCCATCCCGTTATTTAAAGGGTGGCGGGTCATTCATTAAAAATCTTCAAAAGGTGTTTTATTAATTATAACAGAAGTAAAATACTAGCTTACTTACCAAATTTCAACTTTTTAGGATTTCAGGAAGTACCCTAAGAATTCTGATGATCATCAGGGAGACAGTGACGATTTCGGCTTTTTTTGATATCAATAAAATCTAAGGTATAAGAGCAGATATATATTTTTTTCTTTTTTAAGAAAGTTATTGAAAGGTGTTGAAAGTTTGGGTTGGTAGTGCCCTTGTGCTTCGCTTGACTTGTCTGCCGTGTCCCTAGATCCTAGGAAAAACGTAAAGAACTATCCGAGCAAAATTCAAAATTTTGGTGAATATAAGAAAAACATGACATGACTAGTAATTGATTATACAAGAATAATACTACTACCACCCGATGTATTTATTTAGTCGGTTTCTCCCGCGCTGCAGTGCCGATCGTGGTTGCTGGGAATTGCCGCTAAAAATGTAAGTAACACTATCCATGATAATTTTAAAAAATGCTGTTACTTTGTCGTTGACATTTCAAAAAGTTAAAGTCTAGTAAATGTGATTATAAAAGTTTTGATTTACCTTTAAAATGATAGGACTATAAGTTTATTTATTAATATGTTTATTAATATGTTTTTTTTAGTATTCAATCATCCACAATATATTACTCAAAATATGTTTTAATATTCTAATTTTAGTAGTTCAATTTTGGTGGAGTTTTACTTGAAACTCAAATTAGTACCTTCACATTATATTATTTAAAATAATATGATTTTTTTTTTTATTTATTTAAATCTGTGTCTTCTTTAAAGTAATGGTAATACGTTAGCGGGTACTCAATATTATTTCTTTTTTTAATTCGAATACCACCCACCCTGTCCTTGCCCAGAGCCTTGCTATTCTTCATTATCCTTAGAGCTGTTTAAATTTCTGAGTACGATATCTCCGGTATATCTTCGAATCAAACGTTCATGGCATGTCTGTAGTGCATTTCTGTTGGTTTTGGATCTTGAAAGTATAAAATTCTTGATAAGAGTGTTCAACGGTTTACGTTCCTAATTTCCATTTTTTTCCAGGAGTTTTTTATATACTTTGAGATGTCGCTTTTCACAATACTTTAAAGGCCTTTACACTTTCTGTACTAGCTAGCATAGCTATTTTTCTAAATTTTTCAATATTACATTCCACCCTTTTTCCTACTTTAGCAAATGTTTCTTGTGTTGTCAGACGTCCTTGTTTGATTAGCAGGCTTCTCTTTTCCAAAATGTCTTGTATTTCCTTTTACAGTTTGTGAAGGGAAGAGTTTATATACGTGTTTATAGAGGGTACTTTGTAGGTTTATGTCAAGTTCATCCACATTGGATGATGGAAGGGGCAATGCGGCAAAATGGGCATCGTTGACTCTAATCCTTAATAATCATGAGGTCTATTTTATCTTCTTTATTTCCTGGATCGCAGGGAAGCTTATCTCAACATTTGTGCCTTAAATAATTCGATGATAGTCAGTCGTATAAAAGTTATGGAAGTATGGCTGTGTAACATATTCTGTCATCTCACCTACTGTTTGACAGCCAACTCTAGTGCCTTGTACGCTCTATTTTATCAAATCAATGACATAGCACGCGTTCGCACTCCCTCCTTTTACTAGACATCAGTCCCACAGATTGCAGGAATTTGAGAAGAAAGCTGTTACACAAAAAAAAAATACCTTAGTGTCAGTTCAGTTGTTTTAAGTATATCCATGACTGCTTATTCAATTGTTAGTTCAATTGTCTCTGACGCGTCGTTTATTCGCGTTCAAACTCCATATAACAGCAACAGCTGGGAGCCTGATTGCAGAACCACTTCAACTATAATAATAACGACACACGACATAATCAAACACAGACAAGGAATATAGAAATAGGATTGTTTTGATTCTGCTGGTTTTAACTGACCTCAAAAAAGAGAAAAATTAAGAAGTGGAGAATATGATTTCATCATCAACAGTCTTTAATAGTTCCCTGCTGGAGATAGGCTTTCCTTACAAAGATTTTGCAATACTGTACCACTTTGGCCAGACGGGATGGTAAAGGGTTTGTTTCAAGTTTTCTTTCTCTTTGCAGTGCTGTTGTCCTACATAGTTTGATCTTTTAGTCGGCCCTTACGACACCCACGGGATGAATAGGTTTGGTGACACTCCGAATTCTTAATTCATCACCACACGGATATGATATAACTTGTCTCGAAATTATCAAGGCTGATTTTACGATTTGTCAAAATAAAAAAACAAATCGTATAATGACAACACAAGTACTTAGTTAAGTACATTACTTTTTCGAGAATGTTTAAAGTGGTACTCATACATTTTTAAACCTTCATTAGAATAGAGCACACGTGTTACACAACCGGGAACTTGTTTTCGGAATTAACACTGGACATTGACGCCGTAGGTAAGAAATAAATTATTGATTTATTATAATATTGAGTGAGAAAGGAGTCCGCGTCCGTTGGCTAGTATTTTTTATAACCTTTAGAATTGTCGAAACGTGATAGGCATCATAAATTAAAAGTTAGGTTTAGTTAATCAGTTCAACAAGGACAAATAGTCGAAGATCTTCAATAAACGGAGACTTTTTTAATCAGAGCTAAGAAACCTCCCGATCAAGTCGCCTTTAAAAAAAACACTAACTATATTTTCTAAGTTAGAAATAATTATTTTGTTGTTTTATTTTTTATTTCTGTGTGGTTCTGACGCATACAAAAGTTTTAATCGTATAAAAAAGAGTTTCTGCACACTATCGGTAAGATTTACGCTTTGTCCGATGAGAGCATAGTCTTTGTCAAATCGTGTTTATTGCGTCGAAATTTCTTAACTCTCGCAATTCTGCCATTCTCTGCATTCTCTTTTCTCTCTTCTTGTCTTAGTAGGTTGAATAAGTATCACGGGTGTTAGTCTGTTTACATTTCAATTCCGAATTTATTCTCTCTATACCTCTGTTATTACACCGAAAGCGAAAATAGTGTGGTATTGTAAGTAGTGCGCATATTCTACAGGTATAAGGAGACAAACGAGCATTTGGGTTACCTGAATATGACTATCAGCTCTGATTGTCAGACTGACTGATTGCTGACTGAATGACATGGTGTTACCTGTTTCCTATTAACATCTTCACTATCAAACTTGTAATTTGTAAACAACACTTTTCCAGTAATATGTAAATACTGTTTACTGGATTAACCTTTTTTGAATTGAAATCCCGTCGGATACCACGGTGGTGGCGATGTCGGACTCGAACCGACTAAAAATTGTACGTAGTCTTGGGTACCAGTAGCCGGGTAGCCTGGTGTGGTGAACCCTAGAAAAGAAATCCCTGTTACTATTACGAAACGCAATGCTCTTAAGACTTAACCGCCAGCAGGCGTTTCTCATAACTTTATGCGCGGTGTCCTTACAATAAAAAAAATGGTAGCTAATATAAATACCTAACCTACCTACCTACCTAATATAAATAGCCGACTCGGGCTGGTGTGGAAATAACCTGCAGGATTGCTGACGAAGAGGCTCCTAGCAACATCAGCTCGGCCTTGACGCGCGCCGCTGGGGGATCCTTTTTTTGAAATACCTACTATTTATATATATTCAATTTTAAGTCTATAACTCTGTATTTTGAATGAAATATACATGTATGTATGACTGAGGTGTAAGTCTTGTTTCTCTGAAGAGTCCCTTAGGTTGCCCACACGCACACATATCCGTACCCCTCTGATGTCGACAAGGCGCCCTGAGGTAATCCCAAATCTCGTGAATATCTCCGCTGGGTAAGCCGGTGAGTAGACCGCCTGACAGGTTCAGCGGTTACACAGTCACCATTGCTTAAAACAGCTATGAAGGTTGATGATGACCCTGAAAATAGTGTATTTGATAAGCTTTTCGTTGATTTCAGACCTAGGTCCTTTATCCATGACAACAAATAAGAAGATAATGGAGTCGATTAATGGATATAGGTCGGTTGCTGAGTTCTACAATGGCAAGTCTATCTTCGTCACAGGCGGTACTGGATTTCTTGGCAAGGTATGAATATATTTATAACTTTCTAATTCTCATACTGTTAATGTGGTTACGATACAAATATTGACAAGGCTTTTATTGCATTGAAACGATTTCGTAATTACTTTTTAACATATATACGTTGCGTACTCCTTCCTAAAAGGCCGGCAACACGTTTGTGACTCCTGAGTTGCAGACGTTCATGAGCGGCGATGGTCACTTTCCATCAGGTGACCCGTCTGCTCGTCTGCCAATATCGTCTAACATAAAAAAATACTATTACTACTTATCGTTATTCGTAAATGTTTGTCATAAACGTTGTTAATTTTACCAAAAATACCACGATACCAATAAATCATAGTTAAAAAAAAAACTAAAAGACAAGTTTTAATGGTTTAATTGTTTTTAATAGGTTCTTCCCTACGTGGACTGATTTGTATCATATCAAATATATATTTATATACCTATATATATAATGTTAAGTTCGTGGTATCTATATTTATAAAAAATATAAGTTGGTTTATATATGCTACAAAAAGTTAAAAAGGCCTGCACCGGTTTAGATCAAAGTTTGACATGGTGTACGAGTACAATCCGCTTAAAGATGGTTTTTATCTATTTTTCGCTTCACTTTTGTTCCTTGTATCCGTGTGGTGACGGATTAAGAATACAGAGTGTCACCACCCCTATTCATCCCGTGGGTGCCCTAAGGAGGAGTTAGACAGGACAACAGCCCTGCAAGAGAAGAAAAACTTAACACACGTCTCAGGAATTTCAACAATATTCACGAAAAAAAATGGCGGTACGAAGTTCGCCGGCAGAGCTAGTCCATATTATTCCATACTAATATTATAAATGTGAAAGTGTGTCCGTCTAACTGTCTATCTGAGTGTCTGTTTGTCTGTCTGTCTGTCTGTTACCTCTTTACGCTTAAACCGCTGAACCGATTTAGATGAAATTTGGTATGGAGTTGGTACGGTATGGGTTGGTACGGAATGTCACCACCCCTATTCATCCCGTAGGTGTCGTAAGAGCCGTAAGGCCAAAACCTCCTTTCTAAGGAGAGGCCTTTGTCCAGCAGTGGAATGTTATAGGCTGTTGATGTTGATGATGATGATGATGATATTTTACCGCGATAACCGACATACAAGCGGCCGGAGCCGCGGGCACAAGCTAGTGTATAATAAATCACTTCTTCTAAAAATAAACATTAACTATTCCAAACACGATGCACGTTCGCCACATTTGTTTAACAGGTATACAAAGAATTTCCTTTAATGAACTTATTTTGGAGATAATTTTTGACCATAGCATTACTTTTAACGAAAAATAAAATGACCAACTGACCAACTAATTTGCGTAAATAAAAATCGGATACTAATGCAAGTCTTACGGCAGCTTTCACTGAAAGCATAAATGGTGCACAGCTCTTGTAAGTATAGCGTAAGTATACCAAAAAGTATACCACGACTCCGAAAACAAGGTACACTAAATCTATCGGTGCCTAACCCCCAAACGATGTTATCCGCAAATCAGAAGCTGTTAAGCTACGGACAGTTTAGATCCTCGTCACACGCAAGGGGTACTACAAGGTCAAGACTTGCAATAGAGGTCAAGAACAAATCTTCAACTTCTTTGAACGGGATCCTCAAGCAAGCACACGGGTCCGCAGCGCAACGCTGATAAACACCGCTGGCTTGCACCCTTACCGTTATCAAAAAGTCCAAGACTTACAAGAAACAGACGCCTTACCCCGTCGACAATTCTGCGAGTGGCTTATCGCACACCCCGGTGCCAATATTTTGTGGACAGACGAGGTCTTGTTTACTCGTGTGGGTTTGTACAACCATCATAACGAACATTGGTGGTCATATCACAACCCAGCCGTCGTTATACAAGATCTAGACTACATTTTGAATCTAGATATCTAGAAGACTACATTTGGAACATTTGTTAAAATACATGTTAAACAGTAGTGGCAAATTAACCTTTAATTGCTTTTTTATTAACTATTGTACATATCACTAAAGATTATTTATTTTTTATTTTATGTTGTTTGTTGTTTTTATTATATTATGTGAAGTTTTAGTATATGGATATAATGTTAGGTACTTTATTTAACAATGAAATGTAGCGAAGTATGCGATACCGATGGAGAGGTCATTGACACTTGCGCGCCTGCGGATTGCAGTGTGTCTACAAATTGCGAGTTCTTGAGACAACTTTGTGATGCTAATTACTCAATATTTTTGTACAATGTGATACTAAACTAAAATACGGGTTTCTCATAAATTTTAATAAAGATTCTTCTGTTAATATGGACGGCAAATTTTAAGTCATTCTGTATAACTACATAAACCTAACCTAACCTAAAAAATAATCATTAACAGCCTTTAATTGTTCAATGCTAGACATAGGGTTCTCTTTAAAAAGGAGGTTCTGGTCTACTACACTGCGCTAGTCAGATGGTTTGGTATACGGTTTGTTTCAAGTGTTTCTTGAGAAATAAATATAGTTGTTTTTATTGTCAGGTGCTTCTCGAGAAGTTGCTCTACAGTTGTGAGGGGATTGCGAATATATTCGTCCTGATTAGAGACAAAAAAGGTGTCACATCTGAACAAAGACTAAAACAAGTCATTGAAAAACCTGTGAGTACTTCTCTTCTTACCTCTTCTTACTCTCACCTGTCACTGTCATGGACACCTGTAACTGACGATTAACAAGTGCGTTACCGCGGCTTTAAGGTGCTGCGTCAAGAAACTTCATCTGGTAACTTCACCCACTCGATGAAAAGTTAGGGAAGAATTGCTTAACCTGGGTTTTCTATAAAGCCGTGGTATCATTGTGGTTGAGCTGGCCTACATATGCTAAAGCATATATAGCATAACTGGGCCCGCTGGACCAAAGTGGTATAAGTGGTAAGAATACCAGTATTAAGCGATTCCTTCGTTGCATTACCAAATTGTGTAAAGATACCGGAGGCCTAACCTCCCCCCCTCCCTCCTCCACTCAAAGACCGCCAACGCACTGAAGAGTTTTGAGTTGCAGATGTTTGCTCTTTTGTCCCGGTTTACAGATTAACTTGGATAAGGCAGTGGTTTTTTTTAATTTTATTTGTACCAGTGCCGTTTCCCAAAAATCAACGCAGCATACATTTTAGGAGTAAGGAATGGAAGCAGCTGACGTCTCCTTGTATCTGGTGTGGACAGTTGGAAGCGTTTGACCAGCGGCCAGGGCTGACCTCTTTTTATGTACTATATATTTGATTACTGTTTTCAGGTTTTCTCAAGAATTAAAACCGAAAGGCCAGATGATCTTAACAAATTGATACCAATCAGGGGTGATATTAATTTACCAAACCTTGGTCTAACGTCGGCAGATGAGGAGAAACTTCTAGAGAAGGTTATATTGCACATTTATTGTTTTAAGGGGTTCTGCAAAAGATAGTCAAAAAGCCGTTAACTTGTTTTAATATCATTTAAAATGCTTCCTTATGCTAGTAAAAATTAATATTTGGGTCTTGAAAATTTGACTGTATTTATAAATTTGACTTGAAAATTTGCGAAATAAAATTTGACACTTAGAAAAACGGGAAATTCTTCGGAAATCGATTCCTGAGACAATAACCTCTCACACACGGCAATCCAATCCCAAAGTAATCAGTACTACGGTAACCAGACTGCTGATAAACATTATTTATCCAGACACAGATTAAATGATCGTACTTGGGCAGTCCACATCCATAGGCTGCCAGCCATTTTCTTCAAGTTGTCGGTCTCCACTCTACCACATTTCGGTCAGTCCGTCTGGAGACATGACCGGCCCCCTTCCACTCCAACGTACTGATTCTTCGTGCGATGTCAGTTACTCTAGTACTCTGTCGAATGGCTTCGTTATATGCCGAATTTTATCGGCTAGAGAAATACAAAGCATCGCAAGCTAAATCACACATTGAGTGACTTTCGTGAAAACGAAAAGTTCTTACTTAATTATCTAATAAAGCTCCTGGGCTAGATCTATTTTTGAAGTACAATCTCATATTATTTCAGGTTTCAGTAGTGATTCATATGGCAGCCACGATCAAATTTCATGAGGAATTAAAAATATCAGTGAACTCCAATGTAAAAGGAACTGAATACGTTCTGAATCTTTGCCATCGGATAAAGAGATTAGAGGTAAAACTTGTCAAAGACTCATCAGACCATAGAATTAATTATTTCATTGATGTGGTCAGCTGAAACTATTATAACCATTTATAATAATAATAATAACCTCACACACTTTATACACCACAGTCTGATCCCAAACTAGAGAGAGCCAGAGCTGTGGTAACCAGACTGCTGATAAACATATTTATATATTTTTAAATTAAGCCAAAAGACATGGAGTTATTATCTTTTCAATAAACGTTAAAACAAATACACAACGTGAAAAAAATGCCAAAATAATTAATGTTTTTTTGAGATGATGTGTAAATTATCATTGAGTATTTAGATTCAAATATATTTGTATGTTATTATTTTCTTATTTCAAATGTTTTTAAAACAGAACACGTTAGTTTAAACTACGTCTAAAACAATTTTTGTTTTTTCTTGTAGGCGTTCATCCACATATCAACAGCGTACTGTAACACAGATCAACAACTATTAGAAGAGAAGGTGTACCCACCCAGAGTAGAACTTGACGAGGTCCTCAGGTTTATAGAACAGCCTGACCAGGATGAAGAAGTAATTAAAAAAAGCTTTTTAAGTGAGTAAGTCTCTGACCCGACGAAAATGGGCTCCTTGCTTGCCACATTGGGACAATTGCTTGTTTCTTAAGGACTGTATGACTATATTTTATACTGTTGATTAATGGCACTTGGTGGAACTTTCTACACATCTATACAAATAAATAAAATTTAACTGTCTGTTTGTAATGTCAAAATAATAGGATGGCGTAACGGTTTAAGCCACAACATTCAACGTAGTAGTAAGCGGCGAGGTGACGCCGCTTACTACTACGTTGAATGTTGTGGGTTCGATCCCCACATGGGACAACACTTTGTGTGATCCACAAATTGTTGTTCTGAGTCTGGGTGTTCTTTGTGTCCGTTTCATGTTTGTTTGTAAAGTCCCCCACGACACAGGATATATTCCAAATGCGGGAGTTGTCTATTTAAAAAACAAAAGGCTTTTTTCATGCTCACACGGTTATTTGCACAATAAGTGGAACTTATATTGTGGAACAGTACTAGTGACTTTTTTCAATACAGTCATCGTCCGCTTGTTATAGGCTTATTTGAACCAGCCTAGGCTATTTTTGCAGTGTAGGTAGGTTTACCAGTTTAGATACGTAAGATTTCATACACAAATATACAAAAGCAACTTCTAGAGTTGTAGATTCTCCTTCTCTCCTTCTCGATTGACAATAGACCACACAAATGACGGAAACCTAATACTCTATAATCATCACCTAGCACCAACATGAGTCGGAATTATCTCGTAAATCCAACTTCAATTCTCTTCAACCAAGAAAAGGCTTGAACTTGGGTATTGTCAATCTGTTTATCTTTAGGTTAAATGTGCTTACCATGTGTGTAATAATAACTATGATAATTTTCTTACAGAAAGTTTACCGAATACCTACACATTTACCAAAGGTCTAGCAGAAAACTACGTATTGGATCATCATGGCAATATTCCTACAGTTATCGTGAGGCCTTCAATAGGTATACTGCTTTTTTATGTCTATATGTAAAAATATCTAGAATGTTACAAAATGGTACAGTCATATTTGAAGAACATTATTTGTAGTTACAAATAGTTGTGTCGGTTGTAAGAATCTCTAATTACAGCTTATGTCCCTAGATATCGTTACCAAACATTTTCGAATTACACTGTGGTTACTTTACCAGGGATACTATATCTATGTCAATATGAAGTAAATTGCAATGTAAACTATCGGATTTTGGACACCATTCAATAGTCAACAAGTTACTTGCTCCCCTTCACCGATAAGAATTAGGGGAAGACTCTGGCCATCTCGCCATCACTCCCTCAGTGAAAAGAAACAAAAATATTGCTTAACAGTCCAAATGTAATTATATAGAAATACATATATATATAGGCCCTTGTCCGTGTAGTGACTTATTAAGAATACGGAGTGTCACACCCTAATTCATCCCCTGGGTGTCGTAACAGCCGACTAAGAGCGCAAAACAATGGAGGACACCAGCACTGCAAAAAGAAGAAAAACTTGACACAAACCCTACACCAACCCGTCTGGCCAGCGTGGTATAGTAGGCGAAAACCTCCTTTCTACGGAGAGGCCTATGTCCAGTGGCCTGTTTAAGGCTGTTGATGTGATGATTGATGATATATAGGCCCTCCCATATACATAATATAAATAAATATAGTTACTTTCTTTAATTTCATTTTAGTGTCAGCTGCTCTAAGAGAACCTTTAGAAGGCTGGATAGACAACTGGTTCGGAGCCACAGGAATGATAGTTTCGACTGTCAAGGGAGCTAATAGAGTCATACTTGGACATCCAGAGAACGTGCTAGACCTAATACCGGTCGATTATGTCGTAAATGTTATTATTGTAGCTGCTTCTCAATGGTAGGTCTTGCTGCTTTATTATATGACATAGAGGCCAGCGCCATTCGTGCAGTCAAAACCGTGCGTTTGCGTAAACGTGCAGACGCACGCTTTTGACTGCACGGATGGCGTAGTGGTTAAGAGGTCACCACGCTGAGTGTTGTGGGTTTGATCTACAAATTATTATTCTGAGACTAGGTGCTTTTTGTGTCCGTTTCATGTATGTTTGTAGTCCCCCGCGACACAATATACATATATTCTTAACAAGAGAGTTGTCTTTAAAAAAAAAAGAAAATAAGGGTTATCTGATGGTAAGTGACTACCGAGGCCCATGTACACCTTCAACTCAAGAGTCACACAAGCCGCCCGCTGAGTTCTACCCCAGGACCCTCATTCACTCGGTAAAATGCAATTAAAGAATTGTTTAACTCCGGTTTTTTGGGAGGCCGTGGTATTAGTATCTTTTGTAACAATACTGTTTATGTTCGTGAAATTATTTAATAACTAGCTTTTGCCCGCGACATATCGGTTATCGCGGTACAAAGTAGCCTATGTCCTTACTCAAGAAAAAAGTATCTCCGTACCAAATTTCATCTAAATCGTTTCAGCGGTTTAAGTGTGAAGGAGTAACAGACAGACAGACACACTTTCGCATTTATAATATTAATATAGATAAGTTTTCTATTGCAGTCGTGAAAAACTGACTGTTTACAATTGCTGTACCAGCTCCTGCAATCCTTTATCCCTACAAAAGCTCGTACGTCGTGTTAAGAAGACTGCTATCGCAATTGGATTCCGTAAGTTCTTCTTTCGTATTCAGATAAATTTTCGTGGACCTCCCCGCTTACGAATTGTGAACCCCTATGTGAACTAAGGATCTAGATAAAGGATATCTAAGTCTAACTATAGGATTAAATATTCAGCAAAAGTTATATTACATTTAAATTTATTTCTAGAACACCTTTTTCATTTTCACTTTACTTTTTTGAAAATCTATTTAAGATGACAACTCATATTCAAATGCGATGTTCACGAACAAGAAATGGATGCTGCTAATCCTGACGTTTCTACTGCAAACAATACCTGCTTATGTGGGTGATTTGATTCTTTGGCTAATGGGCAAAAAACCAAAGTAAGTACTCCCTACTCCATATTACTCGTATTAATAATATTTGACATAACAAGAGATTTAAACATTGGACAATTATGAATTTGAAATGTTAAAATTGACTAAAGGCAAATAAACCTCGAGGCGTAAGATTCTAAAATTGGTAGCATATGCCGAGGTATTTAGAGAAATCCTTAATCTAAAAAATTATGTGAAAATATGAAGATATAATTTAATTTGATTTCCCTGGCCTGGTGACCCCTCTATTAATAGAAGAAACTGACAGATACGCAACCCTAGCCTCTGTCCTTCCATGCGTTTCCCCATCTGAGATTTCCAGTATCCCATATAGGATACGGGAGGCATGCTCCCTCGCACTTTCCTCTTTTCTTATCCTACTATTTATCTTCTTCCTTTCTTGTGTCATATTTTTTATTTATAAACGATTACATTCCCAAGGATGGCAACATTCTAAGAATCCAGTCAAAATCAATAAAAATTGAGAAAAGAGCAAGAAAATGCCGATTGCCGTTTTAATTATTTATCTGTTTCTGTTTATATTAGCGTTATTGTGTACTATACGGTGTTTTAACAGGCTTAAATGGTACACACTTTTTGAAATAATAAGTTATTTTTGCACTAGAAATTGACTAGAATACCCTTTTTTTTATTTTCTTCAGATGTTTGTACCGTATTACAATTTTAGTAACTTTAAAATCAGAATTCCAAACTTTATGACAATAAAGTGCATGTTACATTAAATAATATTCACCATCAAATGCAGATTGTGCCTGACATTTATTAATAATGTAAGACCGATTTAAAAACATTTTCGTATTATTTTCATACTTGGTATTTATATAAATGAACAATTGAAAAATACACCAGTATTAGGATTTAATATAGGAATATGGTTGCACATATTTTACATCACTGACACGATAAATCAGCGTCTTTTTTTTATTTATGGTAACAATTTTCGTTAGTATTTTTTTACTGATAGACCTTTCAAATTTTCCACAGGTATGTGAAATTTCAGTCTCAGGCGATCGCAGTCCGAAACCTCATCAATTTCTTCACGTCTAATTCCTGGGAGATGAAAATGGATAATGTTAAAACTCTACACGCATCTCTTTCACATGTTGATCAAAAAGACTTCCCATGCGATCCCTCCGATATTAACTGGAAAAAATATAACAATAACTTTGTAGTCGGGATTAAAAAGTATCTAGTGAAGTAGTATCTACCTAAAATATGCTTACTTTTTGTGTTCTGAAATATCTTGAAACCAATGCTCGTCCATGGTGCAGCGACATGGTTGTGGTCATGGCTCATCTTTTCTTAGAGCGCCTGCCACCTCACCTCTCCTGGTCCCCGTTCTCGTCTTGCCTCCGCGCCCCCTACTTACCAGTACTTTATTAAGCGGTTTATCTATAGCTAAAAAGCGAAAACGGGAAATATATTTGACATGCCGCGCCGGACTTACTCGTAAAACAAAGCCTAGTAGAAAATATGTAAGGTTGATGCCAGGTCCTACATAAAAGTTACTTATCTTACATAAAAGATATAGGTGTGGCAAAATTTCAGGATAGGCATTTTCAAATCTTCGAATAACATAATACTGAAATTATTAAAAAAGAGACTACCTGAATTTTAAAATTAAATTACTAATTAAACTAAAGAGTTTTGTTAACATTTATAGACTTTTAAAGAAGCTTTATGATTCACTAATTTCTTAATTTTATTCTCATCGAAAATATTAAGCCACGAAAGACACAAAATATTTTTTTACTGTCGTTAAAGGGAATCGCAGGTTCGATATCCGTTGAAATTAAATATCTGCATGTTTGGTTATGTTTTATTTGCATTAGTCTTGGTATAATAGTTGATATTTATAAAAATATTTAAACCGTGTTCCCATAATACAAGTTCTGCTTAATTTAGGTCTAGACAGCGCTGTGTAATACGTGCCAAATGGTATTATTTTTATGTTTACATATCTTAATAAATCTTGTTTTATAAATATTACATAAGAGTGACTTTTATTTATTAATAAAATAAATTCCCAAAAATGACATTATTTCACTAGAATTACAGTGGAAAAAGGTTTAAATTAAACTAACTTTAAACATACTAACGAAGAAATTCAATTTATTACTCTCACCCTGAAGTGTTGATTTTTTCTTCAAATTTGAATGTAACCAAATGTGAAGTAAAATTATTATTTGTTATGACTATTGAATAACATGCTATAATTTTCTTTATAAATTATAAATTTATCTAAAAAATGTAATTTCCATGGATATTTACCTGCAATAAATGATTATTATTATTAAAAGCTTTCAAATTAAAAAGAAGTTTCAAAATCGGTTCATAAATTTTGATTTGTGGGACAACACACACAAAACTAGTAGGAATCTCTCAGGGAGGCGCTCATGTATCACAAAGTGCATCTCTACCTCTGCCGCATAGTCGGGGCATATCTGTCGGAGAGAGCCGTAGTCTACCCAAGTACCGCAGACGACTCAGGCGCCGCAGGTCGCAGAACGACCTCCGTCCTCTATAAGCGCAGGCCTGGGGTGACAGGTGAGGCCATCTGTCACCCGAGCAGAAGCAGGCCGGGGTGACGGCAAGCGCGTGCGTCCTTCCAGGAGCACAGAGGGAACATGGGGGTTCCCACACAGGGAGGGTCGTCTACCCGCCGTAGATGGCCCGAGATACGTCGGGGCACCAGGGATTTCCTTTCTAGGGTACCCTGGTTCCCCGACTACTGGTACCTGAGACGGCGTGCGGTTTTAGTCGGTTCGAGTCCGACATTGCCACCGGTAATTGGTATCCGAGGGGATTTCCGCACAGAAAAAAAAAAAGTAGGTATCTCTCAGGATACAGACTCAACTGCCTTGTTTCAACTGCCTACCTGTCTTTATAATAATGAAAAAAATATTGTGGTAATGACTTGGTAACAATGGGACAACCTTTTATACAAAAATGAAATTTTGGTCATCACTTCATAGCTAGATGATGGCATGTTTAGTAACCTAGTAGACGAATCACCTGACGCTGAGTGACTACCGTCAGCCATAGACACCTGCAACTTACGAGTAGACATGGAAATTATTGCAACTTCTAAATCATATTCATTTGATGAAATGATTGGTTTTAGTCACAGCGATTTCACATGTCATTGTGATTTCGTCGTAGACAAAATTAAATGGCATTAAAATTAGTCAAGATTCTTTTATCAAAGATTACTGATTGCGCTGGCGTAATAATAATAATTAAGTAGCAGTAGTTTTTGTAAATCAGTCGCAGGTGTTATGATACGATTTAGAACGAATATGATTTTTCACCATCCCTTACGCCGTTAAGCCTTACGAGACACCGTTATTGGATGGTGGGAGGGAGGCGTAGGCGTCTACTAATCTTACTCACTGATGAAAAGCAACAAGACCACAAACTGTAACACCGGTTTTCTACTGTGAACCCGTAACACTCGCATGGAGTCGGCCCATACTTACATATCGAAACGTGGCTCTCCCACGGCTATCTATATAAATGTGTTCAGATATATTCATAGAGTAAAAAAAATCGGTTGTCTGTAAAGTTGGTTTACTGACGATAGTTGAACGTGACAACGTCATAAGAAAATACTGATGGAATGGTTGCATTTTTCAAAAATGTATTATTGTATACGAGTAGTAGCTGTCCACGCGGACGCATCGCTCACTCAAGTTCCTACTTGAGAGAGACAGATGTCGAACGCTGCCGAACGCGGAGGCCGATTGTGCCTCTTTGTCGCTCGTTCCGCGCTCTCGCTTGCACTTCACGCCTTAAATGGAACGCCTCAGAGCGAGGTAACGCCGCATGAGTCATGTTTTTTCGTGCGTGCAGCCGGCTCCATCGAATTATAAGACGTTGTCACGTCAAAAACACGACCAAGATCAGATATACATATTCGACTACACGGATGGCGTAGTGGTTTAAGCGGTTACCACGCCGCTTCCTACTACGCCGAGTGTTGTAGGTTCAAACCCCACATGGGACGACACTTTGTGTGATCCACAAATTGTTGTTCGGAGTCTGGGTATTATTTGTGTCCGTTTGTAAAGTCCCCCATGACACAGGATATACTCCTAATGTTGCCATTTATAATAAAATAAACTATTCAAAGTTGATAATAAAATTATCTGATAGGTACACATAGAGAAAAAGTACAATCCTAAAATAAGTTATTTTCAATAATCGATTGAAATACGATATTTACAATTTAAGCCGATGAAAGATGTCAGCACAAAGTAACAAAAACATCAATTTAAATAATTGTTCAATAGCTCAAACAATTAAGCTATTATCTTAGGGTTTTTGTACAATACCTTTCTACAATCAAAATACACAAAAACTGGAAATGATTAGACAAAACGTCATTTTATTAACCTTCATATCTTTGTTAAGTAGAAAACAAAATTGAACCTGCATGATCGAAGATATGCATAAACAAAATGAAACATTCTTAGTTTATTTTGTAGATACTCTGTATTTGAAACTAGAGACTTTTGATTTATATAGTGATTTTGAAATAGAAACGGTTCGATTTTGGTTCTAATCTAAATGTAAAATATAAATTCAATCGAAAATAAATAGACATAACTGTTACTATGACCATTGTGATCTGTTTATAATAGTGACTCATTTATATGTAGATCGTTATTTAAATATATGAAATGAAATGAGCTCGTGGCTAAGTGGTAACCGAGTAGCTTAAGGTGCGAAATACACACAAACGGCGTAAGGCATAAGGCGCGGCGCAGGCGTGGAACGGATACGGCACGGACGCGATTGAAATTATATAGAAGAGGCGAAGCGACGTCACGATGTGTCATTATACAGGCCGATTTCATTGCGATAGCATGTCTTCCTCTTCAGATGACGAAGATGCGCTTGCTTTGCTGCAACTCATTAATGTGCAGAGGCACAGAAGATATTGGATCCACCCCGTGTGGAAATTATCAGAACAGCATAGATATTTTAAAATAATGGAAAGATTACATGAATATCCTGATCGTTTTCGCACAGTGTATAAAATGTCACAAGAATGTTTCCATATTATATTGTCAGAAGTCTATTACTGTACTCCGGCTTGCTAAAGTCGTAAAGAGCCGGATATTGTTCGACAATTTCGCAGAACTGTATATTATATTCTATATCATCACGCATTTTTGTTGCTGATAAATAATAGTCGTCCCATATAGCAAGCGACGTCCTCCTTGCGTGACGCTTCAGTTGTGACTGCAAGCGGCGCGGCGCAGGCGTGCCTGTGCCGCGCCGCTTGAGTGTAATTCACAATACGTCTCCTTAATACATTTTGTATGCAAAAGTTTTGAAGCTGCGGAGTGCCTGCGCCGCGCCGAGCTCCTCGCCGTTTGTGTGTATTTCGCGCCTAACACATTGCAAAGTCAAGTAATCCTACCCAGGTTAGTCTATGGATGGGTGACCATTTCTTTACACATAGGTCTCGGTTGCAATACCAACATCTATGGCAATCGTTACGGATAGTTGGAACCCTAACAAGTCCGACCACAGTCTTTTCTACAGAACTTCAATATTGTCTAACCTAGTCACTCAGTTTAGAAAAAACGAAGTTCAGCCTTATCGTAATAGACTTAAGGCCGACCGCAACCTAGTTTGGGAAAACAGCTCGAAGTAAGTTTTTTTTTTATATATTCTACCACATTCACACAACACCATCTAGTCCCAAACTAAGCAGAGCTTGTACTATGGGTACTGCTAGAAAACTGATATAAATACAAATATACTTTTTTTTTGTAAATAATATTATACATAGAAACACCCAGACCAAATCAAACATCAAATGTTCATGCACACAAATGTTTGACTTGAGCGGGAATTGAACCCGCGACCTTTGGAATAGCAGTCCGTTACACAAACCACTACGCCATGCAGTCGTCAGATTAGAAATTACCATAGCGCAAAAATACAGTATTGGCATATGATGTATAGCATCTGACATCTCACCTTCCATCTGACAGCCAACCTAGCTCCACGCGCTTAGTGATCCAATCGATAGCTTCCCTGGTTTCCTGTTATATAATGCCGTCCCATTTCACGAAATCACCTACTCTCAGTATTCAGCAGAAGTCAGCGAATAATCGACTTTTAAATTATTACCGACGACCGAATGGCATAGTTGTTTGTGTAACGGACTGCTGCGGGTTCGATTCGAAGTTAAACATTTGTGTGCATGAACCATTGATATAATACTTACATAGATGAGTAATTACCGCCTAAAATCGTTGCTACTGCACATATGTCCACAGGCATATGCGTAGCAAACGTCAATTCATTATTCAATGTGGCGTCAACCGAGTTGAACATAGCGACACATGACAGTAACAATCGCCAAAATGGCTAAATGCGTAGTGAAAGAATGCGATTCAAGGTCACAAAACATTAATAAATCATGCGGAATTACTTTTCACGTGTAAGTTTATGGTTTTTGTATTGATAATATCGTAAATAAGGCTATAATTGAAATAAAACACTGATAATTGTAATTTAGAATCAGTGTTACCATTAAAAAATCATTTTGGTTTTCCCACATTAGTGGGAGAATTTATAATTTATGAAATAATATGCTTTATACTGTTTTAAACATTTTGCCAATAATAATAAAATATAGGAAGAACGATAGTTGTTAGGGCTGGACCGATCCCTTTTTTTAGGGACCCGTTGAACGTTCACTGCGAGCTTGGCAGAAGTGCCAAGCTCGCAGTGCTGGAGACTTTTGTACAAAAAAATTAATTCATTGTTTTTCTTAATTTATTATCAATTTTAAATAATAATTGTACAAAATAATAATAATAATAAATGTTTATCATAAAAATAAAAATATAAAATAAAAAAGTAAATAAACATAAATAATTTTTTTTATAAAATAAAAATATTTTTTTTTTTTTATTTGTTTTTTAAATTATAATAGAATTTGCAATACACCCTGGGGATTATTAATTATCAGTACAAGTTGATCATTCACTTTTATAATTAAATGCTATTATTTTTACATACGTAAAAATAAGATTGTATCATGAAAGTAAAATATCCACACAAGCTTATAAAAAAGAGTCTAAAAGACAATTGTATACAAAACTGATGCTTCACAGCGCAGTTTGATTTTACACTGAATATAAACCCTTTTAACCAAATATTTCCAGTTATTTTATTATTTATACCTATTCTATTCAATTCGAAATATAATATTTAGAATATTTAAATTCATTTATTTTATTACAAAATTGTTTTAAAAAAAAATGTTTCTTAGTTGTTATGGGTAAAATTTCATACGGTAGTCAACACTGGCCCACCATCGTAAAGTTATATCTTTGTCTTTGTCTAATCCGAGCGATGGTATTGTTCTTGTCTCGCGTGTAAATGAGACATAAATATGTTTACTTTCAAATGTTTAGTGGTATCAAAGCTACGTCGTCAAAGTTCAAAAGTGGTTACACTTTTTTCGACGTGTGATAATGAGGTTTGCTTCTCTAGTGTTGTTTTAACTCAATGGCATGAACATTTAATGTTACTCCCGCATTAGGAATATATCCTGTGTCGCGGGGAACTTTACAAACATACATGTAACAGACACAAAAAACACCCGGACTCAGAACAACAATTTGTGGATTACACAAAGTGTCGTCCTATGTGGGGATCGGACCCACAACACTCAGCGTAGTAGTAAGCGGCGTGGCGACCGCTTAAACCGCTACGCTCCGTGAAGTCAATTTTCTATCTATAATATGTATGTATTTATAAAAATAAAGTGTATAAGTATTTATGAGTAGTAGTAAACGAGACAACACTCCATTAATATTGTCAAGCTGTCACACGGATTTAAACCATTTACGAGCGTTTTCTTAAATTTGAGATTGTCAAAAATGCCATGTTAAAATATTATTGGTAAACTTTGAAATCACGTATATGTGAGCGCAAGGCTTTATAAGTTGTTGTGTTTATTAAAGTGACGTTATTAGAAATACGAGGTCTAGTAGCCATAGTACAAGCTTTGCTTAGTTTGGAACTAGATGGTGTTGTGTGAATGTGGTAGAATATTATTATTATTCTTAGGCAAGTTAAAAGCCCAGAGAAGGACAGCTAGTATATTTATATTAAAATGGTAGTATTCCACAAAAATAGTTGAATAATAACAGATCGAAGACATTGGAACAATTCGCGAACCTCATTCTGTTATGGCATACATGAGAGAATTTTAAAATATAATTAACATATAACATCAAAACCAAATATTATATTATAAACGAGTCTTCCACGGGGAATACCCGTTTGAGGCCAAATTTACAAGATACATAGTAACACATTATGTATGTACGACATAAGAGAATTTGCATGTATAATATTTGGTTCTGATGTTATATCTTAATAATGTTTTAAAATTATCTCACATATGCCATAACAAAATGTGTTACGAAACACGTTTGACATGAAATTTTTGTATGCGTTAATTATACTCGAATATAATAGTTGCGAAGTTTGTTTATTAATTTTGAACATTACGAGGAACCGACTGGAAAAGATTTGGTCTGTTTTTAAAACGCACACAATGAAATAGCTGATAATAGCTGCTTGCTGCGACTGCGCACGACAAAATAAAATATAAAAATCTTTTATTTTAGAACATGTTATTAAAGAAATTAGTGGGCTTTTTCCTAATTTTATATTGTGGTTCCAAATGTGTCTGTGGAAGATTTTCGATCTCCTATTTAGGTAAATATATGAATGCATAGATTGTGGAATAGTGTTAGGACTCACTTCGCTCGCCCTGAAAACTGGTATCGCCACCGCGTGGTTCATAAAATGGGAGGTGACATGATGTTTTATGTACGTGTGGAAACCTCGAGCCGTCATGCAGCCGGGGTTCTCGGTGGAGCGGTGTGTCGGAATTGAACCGACTAAACGACACGATGTGCCACTCTGTTTATGATGTTGATGTGCAATTCTCTCCTAGTGACCGAATGCAGATACTTCCCAAGCAGCCCTGCCCAGAATGGACCTACGTCAGTCGGAAGGAAGGGTCGCCCTCGCCTCCACGGCCACAAAGCCAGCACATCGAACGTTCTGTCGGAACGGCCGACTACCCGATATCGAGCGACGGCGATACTCCGGCGAGCACTTCCGCCTCCAAATCCCACGGGGTAGTTCCTGCCAATGCGCGCGCGGCCTCCATCGACACGGTACGGTAACCACGTATAGCTCTAACCACCAATATCCTCTGAGGGCGCCAGAGACGTGCCTTATTCTGGCCGTCACAGCATCCACCCATATAGGTGTACCGTAAATGCCATTGACCGGCCAACCCCCCGTGTACAGCCGTCTTGTCGCGGCGCTGAGTCCACCCAAATTGAGCAAAAGTCACCAAACGGCGGACTTAGCGCCGTCCAGCTTTAAAGCAAGCAAGTGCTCGTCGTAGAGCCACCCCCCTTCAAGGATGAGGCCCAGATACTTTACTGTGCCTGAACCGGTATGAGGGCCGAATTGACCATGATTGAGGCGCAGCGGGTGAACCAAGACGGGGCTCATGGAACAAGACGCCTCTGTCTTATCCAGGGGCCTCCGTAAACCCAGCACCTCAATGCGACCGAGCACGAGAAAGACTCCCATAGTTCGTGAAGAATACAGTTTAGTACAATTTATCACCATGTAATATTTATTTATTTTATTTATTCTTTTTTTAAGTTTATTTAGTAACCCTTTGTTACAAAATAAACTTAAAAAAAACTGTTTGTTAGTGTTTGAAACTAGATGGCGTGGTGTGTCAAATTTGGTTTAATTTTAACTTTTCACTGCAATTGTAGTAAAATTATCACATTTTTGGGGGTTATTTTATTAATAAATGAAAGTCACTCTTAATATAAGATAAAACAATCTTTATTAGGATAGGTAACGTAAATACCATTTGGGTACGTATAACACAGCGCTGTCTTGACCAAATTAAGTAGAAATTGTACAATTTATTTAATTTTTTTTTTGTAAATATTAATATAATACATATTGTTTATTATTATGTTTTATTATTGTTAATAACATAACATAACAATGCATACAGATATTTACCTCAAACAGATATCGAACCAGCGACCCCCTTTGACCCCAACCTGTTACCGACACTAAAAAAAATCTTTTGTATCTTACGTGATTTGATATTTTCGTTGAGAACAAAATTAAGAAATTAATGAATTATAAAGCTTCTTTAAAAGTCTATAACTATTAACAAAACTCCTTAGAAAATTATTTAAGAAGAAATCCAGACATTCCATAGAATATGTTTAGTATGACATATTTATAGTTTCATTCAAGTAGAGTTTACTTGAATAAAATTATAGATATTTCTCTTATACATTTATACATCATCATCAGCCTATCGCAGTGCACCGCTGGACATAGGCCTCGCCCATTGCACGCCACGTAGGTCGATTTTGGGCTTCTCGCATCCAGCTCCTGCTAGCCATCTTGCGCAAATCGTCACTCCACTTGGCCTGTGGGCGTACTACACTACGTTTGCCGAGACGCGGTGTCCACTCAAGAACTCGTTTTCCCCAACGGTTGTCGGTTCTGCGGCTAATATGGCCAGCCCACTGCCACTTCAGCTGGCTGATCCGGTAGGCTATGCTGGTGACCTTGGTTGTTTGCCGGATCACCTCATTTCTGATGCGATCCCTTACATTTTTACATGTACAGGTTAATTTAAAAATTTAAGTGGTCTCTTTTATAATAATTTGCAGTATTATGTTATTCGAAGGATTGACTATACTGAAATTTTACCACACCTATTTCATTTATATAAGATAAGATAAGGGACCAGAAAACGACGTTCTTCTGGTCACTTTTATGTAGGACTTGGCATCTAACTTACATATTTTTTACTAGGCTTTGTTTTACGAGTAATTCCGGAGCTGCTTATCAAATATATTTCCCGTTTTCGCTTTTTAGCTTTTTAGCTTTTAGATAAACTGCTTAATTAAGTAGGTACTCGCCTGTGGGGTAGGGGGCGCGGAGGTAGGACGAGAACGGGGACCGGGAGAGGTGCGGGTGGCAGGCGTTCGAAGGAAAGACGAGCCATGACCACAACCATGTCGCTGCACTATGGAGGAGCATTGGTTTCCGGATATATCAGAACAGAAAAATTACATTTTAGGTAGATACTAATTCATTAGGTACTTTTTAATCCCGAGTACAAAGTTGTTGTTATATTTGTTCCAGTTAATATCGGAGGGATCGCATGGGAATTCTCTTTGATCAGCATGTGAAAGAGATGCGTATAGAGTTTTAACATTATCCACTTTCATCTCCCAGGAATTAGACGTAAAGAAATTGATGAGGCTTCGGACTGCGATCGCCTGAGACTGCAATTTTACGTACCTGTCGAAAATTTAAAAAGCTCTATTAGAAAAAAAGTGCTCACGAAAATTTAAAACAATGTTAGTCTGTCCTTAAATAAGATGAAGGATTCTACTTCACCATAAGTTAAAAAGAAAAATCTGATTTATCGTTGAAGTGATGTAAAATGTGAAAGTTTGGGAACCATATTCCTATAATGTAAAATCCTCATTCTGCTGTATTTTGTATTACGAAAATGTTTTTAAATCAGTTTTATAGAATTAATAAATGTCAGGCACAATATGCAATTATGATGGTGAATATTATTTAATGTACCATGTACTTTATTGTCATAAAGTTTGGAATTCTGATTTTAAAGTTACTTAAATTGTAACACGGTACAAACATTTGAAGAAAATTAAAAAAGTCGGTGTTCTAGTCAATTTCTAGCGCGAAAATAACTTATTATTTCAAAAGGTGTGTACCATTTAAGCCTGTTAAAACACCATATATTACATAATAACGCTAATATACACAGAAACAGATAAATAATTATCATCGTCATTTTCTTGCTCTTTTCTCAATTTTATTTCGGATCGGCGCAATATGTGGTTTTAGCTGCATGGTAGGTCGCCTGTCTTTGGAATTGGGTCTGACAAACATAGGACGTGACTGATTAAAATTAAGGAGTGTCGCCACCTCTATTCGTCCAGTAGATGTCGTAAGAGCCGACGAAGGGAGCGCAGCGCAATTACGCAGGACAAAAGGGTTGAAACGTGAAACAAACCCGACACCAACCCGCTTGGCATAGTAGGCCAATGACTCCTTTCTCAGGAGAGGCCTATGTCTAGCAGTGGCCTATTAAACGATGTTGACGATGATAACAAACAAATAACATGACAGGACAAATTGAGAAAATAATTTAGGGTGAGAAAAGAGAATAATGCGAGGTAGCCTGCCTCCCGTGCCCTATTTATTCTTTCTATTAATAGAGAGGTCACTTATATATACATTTATACTTCATAATTTCATATAATCATTTAGATTATGGATTTTTTTAAATATCTCAGAATATGCTTCTCATTTTAGAATCTCGCGTAATTAGGTGCAATCATTGCTGCCATACTAGCGGGTGAGGAGGGATGGACCAGACCAGGCCAGAAAGAGAACGCTGAACGGGATCGGGAGAGGGCCGATCCCGAGCGTAGAGGACGTGGGCGACGATACCAGCCGCCGACGGGGCCGCGGGCCGCCAGAGAGTGGGGACCTCTGGTGGCAGATTTAATACTACGGTAGGAGATATGATGGCGGCCTGATTGCATTAAGACGCAATTGGGCCGCCACGTTGCGATTGAGGGGGCAAGTGTATTTCCCATGGGATAGAGCCTTATTAGGCATGGTGTAAATTAGGGGAGGATTTGAAATAACATGGTCCGGGTCCTCCAAGAATAGAGCACCTGAGGCCGGCCGTCGGGGTGTTTTTCAGTGGAATCATCACATACTCCTGGCTCCTGAGTCCCCGAGGAGCATGAGATCGGAAAAGAATTTCTACCGCGTCAAGAAAAAAAAAGTCCTTTTGTCTTTAGTCAATTTTGACATTTAAAATTCATGATTGTCAAATGTTTGAATCTCATGTCACGTCATGTCAAATATTAAAACAATTATTATTAATAATAGGCAGTAGGGAGTACTTACTTTGGTGTTTTCCCCACCACCCAAAGAATCAAATCACCCACATAAGCAGGTATTATTTGCAGTAGAAACGTCAGGATTAGCAGCATCCATTTCTTGTTTGTGAATATCACAGTTGGAAAAGAGTTGTCATCTTAAACAAGTTTTAAAACGGATAAAGTGAAAATTAAGTAGCGGAAAGTGTACTAAAATTAATCTAAATACAATATAAATTTCTCGGAATATTCAACGCTATAATTTTAACTTAGATGTCCTTCATCTAGATAAAGTGTAGCACTAAAAACCAACGTAACTAAATACGAGTATACACGGCCCACGTTATTATGCTGGTGGGCGTTGGCACAAATCGACAGTACACAACTACCTTAAGTTAAGTTTAATATGATGTGTATTGGCAGTATCCGTAACAACAAACAAACAGATTATACACTAATTCCTAATACTCTTAATCGTTCATCTAAGTTTTTTTCTAAGAATTCTGATACTAGTTTTTTTTTTATATTACTCAGAGAATATTTTTACAAATTTATTTCAATTTTATTTTGGTAATCCATACTTATGTATATATATATATATATATGTATTAAAAGTGAAAGGTGTGGATCAGCTGCTAAAACACATATTATTATTAGTTTACTGCAAAGGGCTGAAATTAAATTGATTAAAGTTCTTTTTCACTACAAGTATTTAACCCCAACCATTAAAGTATATAAAGAGAAAATAACACTTAATAATTCCCATTAAGTTCATGAAAGTTCATAAAATTCTCTAAACCCAGGACTAATTACGGAAAAAATAATATTTTGTATCAAGGGATCTGCAATTTACTACCCAAAAATACAAAAGATGCAAATTCGCTGGTTTTATTCAAAAAACGATTAAAACAACACATTTTCAAAGGAACCACCTGAAATTCATACTAAAATCTATTACTTACTAGGTACTCATGTAAAATTCATGCATTACTATTTTAATTATTATAAATGTATTTTTATTAGTAGTAATTTTTTTACACTGTTGTAAAACTTGTTAAAATAAAAAGGAAAAAAAACCTATTTGTTACATAAAGTAATTAGTGCACGTAAACCTACCATTATATGTATTTGCTCCACTACAAACCAGAATTAGAGCGGACAACTTCATTTTAAACAGTACCTTCATTGCATAAAAATCAGTTTGCAATTATCTACCTACCTGTCAACATTTACTTTTATCTTTTATGATTTGTATTTTATTTCACCTCGTAAGTGATTTGTGTAATCTTGAGTAATAAAGTTATATTTAAACCGTATAGTGAGTTTGTTTCTTTGTTAAGCTGTCACGCGTAAACCACTAAATCTATTTTAAAAATTCTATCATCAATGGAAAGCGATTCATCATTATTAGCGATTTATCACCAGATTTCTACACCACACAAAGGTTGGCTGGTAGATAATGCCCTGGGCATTAAGTGTGCCGATGTACACAAGTGCATAAAGTTGTCAAATTAATGAAATAAATAAATAATATAATAAATACTCGTATACATAACCGAAAAAGGTAATGAAAGAATACAAAAGAAGAACTTACGGAATCCAATTGCGATAGCAGTCTCCTTGACACAATTTAAGAGCATTTGTAAGGTTAAAGGATTGCAGGAGCTTGTGCAGCAATTGTAAACAGCCAGGGTTTCACGACTGCGATAAAAAATAATAGCATCATTAAAAAAAACCCTGACACAAAAAAGCAGATTAGGTACTTGATGCATCAGAAAGTTACAGATTACCATATCGTGGAAATACCATCAGAGTAACAGTATACCAAATTTCATACGCTGATACACAGGTTAAACTAATAACACCCCTCATCCGTCCAGGGTTAAAAAAAAATGAGTCAGTCATAAGGATTGCCGACAGAAGTGAAAACTCAAAACAATAGAACTACGCGTCGCTAGTCTAGCGTCACAAGCATGTCGAGGTCATTGGTGACGCGAACCCGTAAGTTTTTCCCCTACCAAAAATCGCTCAATGCGGCTAAAGAAGTCATCATCATCATCATCATCAGCCTATCGCAGTCCACTGCTGGACATAGGCCTCTCCGATTGCACGCCACTTAGATCGATTTTGGGCTAAAGAAGTTAATATAAATAAAATAATTCCACGTAAGTATATAAACTGTATTTTTATCAAATGATACTGATACCACGACCTCCCAAAAAGCAGAGTTAAGCAATACTTTAATTGCATTTTACCGAGTTTTAAGTACCGAATGTAACCAATGAGGTCACTGGAGCCCAAAACCTCTCCTCCCTCTATTTCTGTCTGGGGGAGACTTAGTGGCGGCTCTTGTCACTCTTGAGTTGTAGGTGTCCATGGGCCTCGGTAGTCACTTACCATCAGATAACCCATCTGCTCGTTTGCCCCTATGCCTAATAAAAATAGAAAAAAAAGTAGCAAGGCCTACCATTGAGAAGCAGCTACAATAATAGCATTTACGACATAATCCACCGGTATTAGGTCTAGCACGTTCTGTGGATGTCCAAATATGACTCTATTAGCTCCCTTGACAGTCGCAACTATCATTCCCGTGGCGCCGAACCAGTTGTCTGTCCAGCCTTCTAAAGGTTCTCTTAGAGATGGTGACACTAAAATGAAATATGAAATAAATTGGGTACACAAAGTTGGCAACCCATTTTTATGACTCTTGAATGGTGTCTAAAATCCGTTTGATTTATTGAAATTTACTTCCCTTAGAACGAGACACATTATTTTAATTAAATATTGACATACTTAGGTACAGTATCCCTCGTAAAGTAACCATAGTGTAATGGAAAAACGTTTGGTAACGACATCTAGCGACATAAGCAGTAATTAGAGATTCTTATAACCGACACAACTACAAATAATGTTTTTGAAATAAGACTGTACCATTTTGTAACATTCTAGATATATTCTTACACACATACATAAAAAAGCAATATACCTATTGAAGGCCTCACGATAACTGTAGGAATATTGCCATGATGATCCAATACGTAGTTTTCTGCTAGACCTTTAGTAAATGTGTAGGTATTCGGTAAACTTTCTGTAAGAAAATGATCATAGTTTTTAGGTCGCACAAATTAAGCATATTGCTTCGTTTTACTTAAAGATAAACAGATTGACAACTACCCAACTTCAAGGCCTTCCTTAGTAAAACAATGGAAGGTGAATGATTCACTCATATTGGTGGTTACCGGCGATTATAAAGTGTCACGGTTTCGTCATTTGTGTAGCCTATTGTCAAATCGGGCAAGAAAGTTTTAGAATTTGAATTGCTGATATTAAATGTTGTTCATTCCTCGCTGTAGATCTTTAATAACCGAAGACAGTAGTTATATTTTTTATATATGTAGGTACATTTACTCGTATACATTATTTGTTTGATTGACTCCGATTTCTTTCCAAACGGGCGGTGGACAAAGTCTCACACACGGAGCAAATACAAAGAGGAGGTGTCGTAATTCGATTTTCCTATGAAACAACGCGTGATAATTTGCGGGGTGACGGTGTGTTAAGCTCCGCCCACTTCACTTTTTCCTATCTATCAAATAATAGCAAAACTACTCGCGACCTTCTATGTCGAAGTTGCTAATAGGGTTTTACCTATGAAATTGCCGTTTTGTATGCAATAAGTGAAAGTACTTATGTTTTCAAACTTTTTTATTTCTGTTATTCGAAGTAATCACCCATGCAATCGACGCATCTTTGCCAACGCATTGGCAGTTTATTGATGCCCTTCTTGTAAAAATCAGCTGGACGGGAGGCAACAAACTCTTCAAAGGCATTTTGTACTGCCTCTCGGGAATTGAATTTTTTAGCCACTAAAAGTTGTCTAAAATTTTTCACTTATTGCATACAAAACGGCAATTTCATAGCTAAAGACCTATTATTTAGTTTAGCTATCTTAGTTTAGGATGTAGGGACGTATTCAGAATTTTCGTACCAGTTAGTTTTTTCTTAAGATTAATTTTCTGTACCATTTTGATACGTCTATTGCAAAAATCTTACTTATAAGCTCCCTAATATTATACGAGTATATTAAAGCGAAAGTTATGTGTTCTTTCGTTTTCGTTGACTTATCCCACGCTCTGTACGTATGTATATTTGTATGTGTGTATATATTATTTTTCACGCTAAAACGACTTAACGGATTTGGATAAAATGTGGTATACAGATAGGTTAAACCTGGACTAATAGGCGATGGGTATTGCTAGTCTATACAAATAAATAAAATTGGAGTGTCTGTTTGTAATATTAAAATAACCGCTTTTTACTAAATGGATATGTATGTTTACACGGTACATATACCAAAATAACATTTTTTACCATTTTTGTCTGTCTGTCTGTCTGTTTGTTCCGGGTAATCTATGGAACGGCTGGACCGATTTCGACGGGACTTTCACTGGCAGATAGCTGATGACATAAGGAGTAACTTAGGCTACTTTTTTAGACTAGTTTCGCCCCGCGGCGTTGCCCGCGGTTATAACAACAAACGCGGGTAACACCGCGGGTCTCAGCTAGTGTGAGAATAAAAACGTTTGTGTCAAATTATGAATAACGATTAAAAATCTGTATTTATGTGTACGGGTTATCTTTTTGTCCTATTGTCACCCCACTACGGTGAAAAAGAATGTTATGATTTTCACCCATAGTTAATTATAGTTGTACTATAATTAACTCAGTCACAGTCTCAGAACAATTTTGTGGATCACACAAAGTGTTGTCCCATGCGGGGATCGAACCCTCAACACTCAGCGCAGTAGGAAGTTGCGAGGTGACCACTTAAACCATTACGCCATCCGTGAAGTCATTATTAACCAAGCCGCTCACTAATTACGGTCATAAATCTATATTATACGAAGGTGCGCAATTGTTTAACAAATTAAAGAACGATCTCAAAGAAAACACTAATTTAAATGTGTAATAAAACGATATTATATGAACATGTAATGAAACTTTGATTATAAACATTGTTTAATAGCTAAACTTGGTTAATTATATACTTTAATATCTATTTTATCCCAAAACACCTTTACATTAAAGAAAAAGCAATATTTACATTACGTATTTTGTACGTAGTGTCATGGCGTCTTGAATGACGTCACAGTCTGCGAAATAAAACTGTTTACATCTGTGTCCAGTGTCAACTGCTTTCTAAAAATTAATAAGGAGTCACCTGCTCTGTTGTATGAAAACGTCAACAACAACAATGATGTTTTGCGTGGCGTGACGTAACACTTTCTGATTGGTGTTCGCTGTCACGTGACTTAATGCCTATTTTGTACGAATAAATTTTTGTAAAAATATTAATAATCTTTAAGTTTTATGAGAAATAGACTGGTTTTTTCTTATCTATGTCCCTTCATTTATAATTTGAAACTATAAACCAAGCAATTTGTTATTAGTAGACACTAGCCTATTGACTGAGTAATGGTATCGATTTCTAACATTTATATTGAATTACTTTATTTGAATGAATGTTTGTCTATTATAAGTATGTATGTATAGTGACTCTGTTTGGAATAACAATCACTGTCCGCTTTGTATAAATAGCCAGACGGATACTTATTAATAAATGAAAGTTTTTTATTTCTTGTTTTAAGTGAACGGTAAAGTTCTTTAAGCCGAAAAGCGTAAGATGACTTTCATGCTGTGAGGAAAACAGTCTTCCCAGTGTGACTAGAAACGAGCCTATTATTCAATCATCGGATAAGAGACTTACTTAAAAACCTTTTTTTAATTACTTCCTCATCCTGGTCGTCCTGTTCTATAAACCTGAGGACCTCGTCAATTTTTACTCTGGGTGGGTACACCTTCTCTTCTAATAAATGTTGATCTGTATTACAGTACGCTGTTGAAACGTGGATGAACGCCTACAAGACAAAACAAAAATTGTTTTAGACGTAGTTTAAATATAAAACATTTGTTATAAGAAAATAATAACATAAAAATGTAGTTGTATCCAAATACTCAATAATAACTTACACATCATTTCAAAAATTATAAAATAAATTGTCATTTTTTTTTACATCACAAACATCATCACACATCGACAGCCTGTAATTAATAGTCCACTGCTGGACATAGGCCTTTTCTAAGAAAAGAGGTTTTAAGCCTTTTATATTATGCTGGGTAGACAGGTTGGTATAGGGTTTTCTTACATGACATTTTTTTTTTTAACTTTTATTTAATAGAAAGTTACTCTATATGTCATTTTGCTTTACTTAAAAATATTTAAGTATTTTTTTCAGCAGTCTGGTTAGTCAGGTTACCATAGCACAGGGTCTGTCTAGTTTGGGATCAGACTGCCGTGTGTGTATGTGTGTGTGAGGTTATTATTACTATTATATAAGACCACATCACGAAATAATTAATTCTATGGTCTGATTAGTCTTTGGCAAGTTTACCTTTAATCTTTTCATCCGATGGCAAAGATTCAGAACGTATTCAGTTCCCTTTACATTGGAGTTCACTGATATGTTTAATTTCTCATGGAATTTGATCGTGGCTGCCATATGAATCACTACTGAAACCTGAAATAATATGAGATTCAAAAATACTATTTACTTACTTAGTACTTCAAAAATATATCCTTTTTTTTACGGGTGGAAAACTCCTCGGGCCGTCACCCCACCGGGGTTTACGGCGGGGTGGCGTGTCGGAATCGGACCGACTAAAACCGCACGGTATGCCACTGTGCGCCTATAATGGTAGGGATCCGGGAACTGCTATTATTAAGACATCCAGAACCCTCCTAGAGCCTGCCCGCAATAGCGCGGGCACCACCTTCGGGTACATTCTCTATTTAGGCTACGTCCGGCACAAGCGGACGCCGCCGGTGGAGGGGAAAACCCGTCCCATCCACTCGTGGCCATACTTAGGTTGGCATAAGGCGCTGGTAAGCGCGCCTCCGCCGCCCGGTTCGTCGGCGGCGAATTATGTCCGAGTGAAAATCATCCTCCCTGGCCCTCTCCGCCGCCTCCTTCTACAAGATGACGTTTTCATAGAAGGATGCAACCGCGGTAAAACATCTGTCACTACCGGCTATGGAGCGTATGACGGGTCGTCCCGAGAGCGAGAGGTCCCCTTCGATTGACTGCAATAAGTACCCGGAGCATGCGACGCCCCAAGCATATTGCAGTGATGACAGGTGGGACTCAATGTCCCTCCTAGCGACCGAGTGAAGGTACTTCCCGAAGCAGCCGTGCCCGGAAAAGACCTGCGTCAGCCGGAAGGAAAGGGTCCCGTGATGCCGCCCTGCCCACTCGACAATGATAGGTTCGAGCGCCTCCACGGCGGCAAAGCCAGCACGCGTAGCCTCCAGCCGGGACGACCTACAAGCCATCGTGGCTTCGGGCGGAGGCCGAATACCGCTATCTTTTTTTTTTTTTTT